ACCAGGATGTCGGGACCCTGCATTTTAATCCGTTACTCCTCAATATACTGATTCTTACTATCAATATCATTTGACAACTCTTAGTCTAGAATGTGATTCTCATGGAGGAGGGTTTGAAAGAAAATTATTCTTGAGCCACACTCTTAAAGATTCAATTTCAGTTGGTCTGGTATGGGGTCCGGGTATCAATCTTTTGGAAATAAATAAGTAAAACAAAAACCCTCCCCCAGCAATTGCAATGTGCAGCCAAGCTTGAGAAGCCTAGAACATATGTTCTGTGGCACTCAGTACATATCAGATAAATATACAGAAAAATGCTCTGGTGCATTTATAAAGGATTGGTGATTGCAAGTGAAATCTTGTCATGTCCCAAGAGACATCAGTTACATTCATGGTTCAGATGAATTTCTTGATACTCAGCGGAAAAAAAGTTCAGCTTTAGATTGTCTTTCACAACTGTGTGAAATCCCTCGGCCTTTGGTTTTATTCATAAATAGTATAAATAACACCTAGTTCTGTGATGTTTAGAGAGAGTGACAAGCCCAGAGTTCCCTTTCTTTCCAACTTGCTGAGAGATTGACAAAGAGCTTGAGGACTCCTTGTCACCCAAGTCGCATGACCACGCGCTCCTGCACAGAAGCTGAAGGAAGGTGTTCCCCAACCTGCTGCTCTCAGGCAAGGTCTTTGGATCTTCTCTGATAGAGCCCTCCTTCCTCCTACAGCCAGTGGACATGTCATTGTCCCCAGGAAGTGAAGGCTGGCCAGGCCACCAGGAAGAGCCCAGGGAACAGGCCCTAGGGTCTTGAGTGCTAGAGCCCTCCTCTCTTCCCCTCCTTCGCCCTCCCCCACCCGGTGCATAGGTAACTGTCCAGAAGGAAGTGAGGCTGGCTAGGTGCCTGGGCAGCAGAAGGAATGAGACCCGAGCAGGCTCCACACCTGAAGCCTGTGGAGGTGGGTCACAAGGGTGCTGAGAAGGTGGGAGTCTCAGCCGCTGGCCCTGAGCACAGTGAGTTCAGCAACTCAAAGGAAACCCAAGTAACTTTGCAAGGGAGTCTCATTAAAAGGTCTGAGCCAGCGGGAGATCACATCCGCAACGCAAGGCCAATGTAGAGCAAAACGGCTTCATTGCATGCTCCTGTGTGCAGGCGGGCTGAGCTGAAAAGTGTTCAGCCTGGAATAACAGTTGGGGCGTAGGTTATATACTCCTAGCTTCCGGCACTTCCTGCTGATGTACTTGGTCTGGCCCACTGTCCACTTTGCAGTAGGACTGATCTGGCATCTGCTGGGTTATCCATTGCCTTGTGGATAATCCAGATAATCCTTAACTGTACTCAACAGAAGGCTGAGCAAAGGTTATGCAAGCAACACAATTTCCACAGTTTCTGCCTTTTGTAAGCTTTTACCTTTATCCTTTAAAATATGACTAACCCTTTCACTCATGATATTTCCAAATGTGCTCATGATTAAAAAGAAAAAGCAAAGCTTAGAATAAGTACGTTCAAGTGCTGCTCATTTTAGCCAAGACACTGGCAGGGGTTGCCAGGAGATTTGAGCAAATTAACATGAAACTAAAACTGAAATGTTTGTTGAAGTGGAACAAGCAGTAATGAACAGAACACAGCCAATACCAACAACAACAAATAATAAAGGTCTGCATAGACGTTTAAATGACTAGGAGAAATTGAGAGGAAAAGTATGTACTAATAAAATGACACAAAGGTACTAGAACAAAAATGAATAAATATAGTTTACTAAACTATCAGTGGACATTTAAAAGTAAACACTAAAACTACTTTAATCTAAAGTATATTAAATTAATTTAAAGTTTATTGAAAAGTAATTTGAAATTTGTTAACAGATTTGCACTAAAAAGAATTAAGAGTGATGCACTAGATAAAGTGACATCTTTTATTTCCCCCAAAAATTTCATTGATTTAGAAAGAGGTAGACTTGTCTTCAAAGAGAGTATTGCCAACCCACACTAAAATTACATCACATGCTTTCTGAAATGGACCAAGGCTGTACGCAATAAACTTCATTTGTCTGCAGGAAACAACTTTAAGTGAAGTAACATTGATTAATGTTCACTGAGCAGTCAAAATGCAGTTCTTGCACTCCAGCATTTCAATTATTCTTTCAGTGGGGTGAAATCTGTTTTAGGACTGTCAATATTCCTTAATAGAGCCATCTTTTCACTAAAACGATTTGCCACTTTTGAAGGTCTGACATTCGCCTATCAATGTGCTTATAAAGGTTTTGTTGCACTTTGCTAATTTTAGTTAAAATGGGGGGGGGGGATTCTTAGCAAACACCTAATCATGTGTCTTTTCAGTCCCATGATATTCTTTCCAGGCACCTCCTACTCCTGGGACCTATTGCCATTGTCTTATTTTAGCAAAATTTCACCTACCTGCTTGAACCTTGAGCAGTAGCCCACATAAGCCATTGCAGGGCTAAAAATTTCTTTTTGCCTAACTTTAAAACTATTATTTTTTTATTGAAATAGTTTTACTAGGTCAGTGTTTAAATATGCCTTGGTATTTCTTCCTCAGCTTCATCCCCATGGAGGATGCTGTCTTACCAGCAGTGTTTTGTTTGTTTAAGAAAGCACACACAATTTCAAATACATATGTTTCTTACTAAACTTAATTCAGCAGTTTGGAAGCTGTCCTTGCCTTCAGTTAAATTATCCATAATAGTGCCAAAGAACGTGAACTTGTAGGTAGTTGTATATTTAATATTCCCTGTAAGAACTCGTAAGGAACAACACCGGGATAAACGAAACGCCTTTAAAGTAAATGTTCATCGTTGTAAAATAACAAGGAAAACTGATTCGGATATACTTTGTTCAATACATATCCACAAGAACTTATCACTAGTATTAAATTTGGAAGGGGAGAAAAAAGACTGGGTTATCACAGCTTACATGGTGAAGTGAACCGAAAGTTCAATGTACAAAACATAATTTCAAGACAGTATTGTGGGAAGACTCTGGTTTCTTCCTGTGATAAAATGATTTTTTTGTGTTGTTGTTTTTTTTCCCTCATGTAGCTTGTACAACTAAAAAGGTGAATCATGTTTAGTAGCCTTTTCCAAATGTTACCTTATGACAAATGCCTGATTCTTGTCTATTTGTGGTTTGGGGGTCTTTTCTTCAAAGAGGAACCAGAACTTTTTTTTTTTCTTCTTTCATTATTGATTTTAGAGAGAGAGGACGTGAGAGGGAGAGAGAGATAGAAACATCAATGAGAGCCCTGGCTGGTTTGGCTCAGCGGTTAGAGTGCTGGCCTGTGGTCCAGAGAGACCCGGGTTCGGTTCCCACTAAGGGCACATACCTTGGTTGCAGTTTGTCCCCAGCCCTGGTTGGGTCATGCGGGAGGCAGCCACTCGATGTGTCCCTTTCACGTCGATGTTTCTCTCTCTCTCTCTCCCTCCCACTCTATCTGAACAAAAAATGGAAAAATGTCCTCGGGTGAGGATAAAAAAAAGAAAGAAAGAAACATTGATGAGAGAGAACATTGATTGGCCGCCTCCTGCACACACCCCCACTGGGGGCCTGACCCACAACCTGGGCATGTGCCCTGACTGGGAATCAAACTGGTGACCTCTTGGTGCATGGGTTGACACTCAACCACTGAGTCACACTGGCCGGGCAGGAACCAGAACTTTTTTTTAAATCCTCACCCAAGGACATTTTTGCTTTAATCTTCAGATAAAGTGGGTAGGAAGACAGGGAGGAAGAGAGAGACAGAAACATGGATATGAGAGAGACACATTGACTGGTTGCCACCCACACAACCCCAATCGGGGCCGGAGACAAACTGCAGCTGAGGTCCGTGCCCTTAGCAGGAACCAAACCTGGGTCTCTCTGGTCCGCGGGCCAACACTCTAACCGCTGAGCCAACCCAACCAGAGCCGGAACTTTCTAATAAGCTTTGCAATGTTGTCCAATAGACTTTCTGCAGTGAGGGGAATGTTCCACTTGGGCACTGTCCTGTATAGTAGCTACAGGTCATATGTGGCTACTGAGCACATGAAATGTGGTTAGCATGGCTGAGGAATGGAATTTTTTTAAACTTAATTTTAATTAATTTAAATTAAATTTAGTTATCCATATGTGGCTAGGGGCTACCAGATTATGCAGAGAGCTGACTAGCTGCTTTGCATTATTCTGGGCTGGCTGACAGTATTGTGCAAACCACCACTGCTGAACTTATACTGGCGGATAAGTCCTGAAGAGATTCTTCAAGAATCTAAATCTTAAAGACATTTAGGAGATTCTTCTATCCGTTCAGTTTTTTAAAAAACTCATAAAGAGCCCTGGCTGGTTTGGCTCAGCAATTAGTGTCAGCCCGCAGACCAGAGAGACCCGGTTCGGTTCCCTCTAAGGGCACATACCTCAGTTGCAGTTTGTCCCTGGCCCCGGTTGGGGTTGTGTGGGTGGCAACCAGTCGATGTGTCTCTCTCACGTTGATGTTTCTCTCTCTCTTTCTCTCTTCCTCCTTCTCTCCCTCCCACTCTATCTCAAGATGAATGTACAAATGTCCTCAGGTGAGGATAAAGAGAAAAAAAAACTTATAAAGATATAGGGTTTTATGAACTATTTAAATGAATGCACACTGTGGGGGTACTACTGATGGAGAAAAGTGCATTTATCTGCAGGGACTCCTGAGCAGCAGGAGTAATTCAGCCTGAATGTGCTGGGAAGCCCATGTCAGAAATGTGACAAGCGTCTGCTTGCTAAGGCACTAATAGTTCTGAAAGTCTTCACACCTGCTCTCTCATTTGATGATCGCAACAACCAGTTGAAGTCAACAGAGTCCTAGTCTACAATTTTTTTATTATATACCTGTCTACCTATACAGAACAATTTTTATAATATAATAAAACTGTATCTAGATCTTAGAAGAAGTAAGGCTTTCCAGCTCTGAAGACATTGTTTTTTTTAATTATAGATTGAGATCAAAAAGTATTTTTATTAAAAAAATGAATAAATGAACATGGAGTATGAACATAATACCTAATTTCATAATGTCCTAACTTTTTGTCTGGAAGAAGGAATCTTAGCATACTTTTTTTTTTAATTTTTTTTTTTTATCCTCACCCTAGGACATTTTTCCATCCTTTGTACAGACAGAGTGGGAGGGAGAGAGAGGAAGAGAAAGAGAGGGAAACATCGATGTGAAAGGGACACATCGAGTGGCTGCCACCCGCATGACCAACCAGGGCCAGGGACAAACTGCAACCAAGGTACATGCCCTTAGTGGGAACCGAACCCGGGTCTCTACGGACCGCAGGCGGACACTCTAACCGCTGAGCCAAACCGGCCAGGGCTTAGCATACTTTTTATAAAACTCAATAAATAGTATGCACTGATCACAATTTGTTCACAGATCCACAACTTCTTCATTGTTTCTTGTTTATATCTTTTCTTTCAGAAGCTCCTGAAAATTGCATCAAGTCTAAAGTGAACCAGCTCCCTCTTGGGCAGAACTGATACCAAGAGCAACAATGAAACAGATCTAACCCTTGGGTTCCTCTCCGCTTCCCTAGCCATCATTTTGTTTGGCTCCAACTATGGACCACTTACAAAATGTGAAACTGGTGATGGTAATTATTTTTTCTTCACTGTTAACCTTAACTTATTTGTAAATACAAAATTCTGTATTTGGGTCTTTTAGAAATGATGGCTACAAAAGTAAATTTTGTTGACTCTGGCGCCAAATTAATAGAGCTTAAGATAAATCATTTGATAATGCCAAGCCAGCTCACCTGACAGTCAGTATAGAACAACCTTAAGATTGTGTTTCATGGTAAAGCTAGGATGCATGGATGCTGTTAGGAAAGCTTTCATGATGCATCTGCTGTGTTTACAGAAGAAGGACGTTAGTCCACTCTACTAGTAACACTTGCTTTGAAAATCTGTGTTTTCAAAACAATTGAGAGAATAGAAAACAATTTGAGCATAACATGAGTTTTGTGTTTGCTTATGTGCAATTTTGACTCTGACAAAACACTGGGTGAACACAGAAAACTGTATCCAGATGAACAAAGATGCATAGAAATACAAAAAATCCACCAGCCATCCTCATCTGGGGTTAGAACCCCCAACCCACCAACTTCACACTAACACAAACTGCAACACTTCAGATGCCCACTTCCACAAGCAAACTTCAGGTCCTTTGCACATTAAAGAGCCATATTTATTGTAGCATTTGTGAATTTCTTAACCATTGAACCAGTATAAAACTGTACTATCACTTTTATTAGGTTCCTATCTTCTTTTCTAACATGTTGTTGATGAAGTGTGTGTTTGGTACCCTAGCCCCAATTTTCCCATTAGTTCTGTGGTTTTTATTGCATGATTTTGCATAGCACAGTGGTTTTTAGGACTATAACAACACGTTCAAGTAGAACTGACTGTAAAGTAAATGTTAGGGAAGAGGCAACAGTTGTTTTTACCTACCTGCCCCCCCCCTTTTTTTAAAGATATTCTTAATATTTTTATCTTTGTTTATTTTAGAGAGAGAGGAAGGGAAAGGGACAAAGAGATAGAAACATCGATGAGAATGAACATTGATTGGCCGCCTCCTGCACGCCCCCCACTGGGGATCAGGCCCACAACCTGGCCATGTGCCCTGACCAGAAATTGAACCAGCGACCTTTTGGTGCATGGGTCGATGCTCAACCACTGAGCCACACTGGCCAGGCTACCTACCTGCCTTTTATATTATAACCAGGAGAAGGAATTGGAGATGTTATGGTGAATACCTATTGGGAAGCAGATGCGTTATTCCCCAGTTTCTTATGTCTTGCTATAACTTAGACCATAAAATTACAAATCTTTTTTCTCTAGAGTCTTTCTTGTCCTCTGGAGTTAAGACAGGAATGGACAGTACTAAAAGAGGAACAGAAAGCATTCCCAGGGGTAGAGGACCTGGCTTTTAGGTGTTCCACAACTGTGATCCTGAGCAAGTTTCTCTTTTGTTCTCAGTTTCTCAATTATAAAATGAAGAACTGGTAAAATGATGTTCCCTTTCATTTTTATGATCCTACTTTTTTTTTTTTTTTTTTGGTCTTAGATGTTAACAGTCATTGTTTTTCTTTCCTCCACAGAAATATGCAAAAATCTTCCAAAGTTAGAGTCAGAAGTGCTACATTGAGTTATCACTTTAGTATTTCTTCCAATGTTGACTTTTTCTATATCCTTTAATCACTAAACTCTTGATGGTACAGAAATCTCAGAAAGGTACAGATATATTTCACATCACCGTGTGATGTTCAGATAACTGGCAAATGGCAGCCCACAGCATAGGAAGGAGAGAAGCCCTGACCCAGAAGGCTAATTCTCAGCTTTGTGATATCTGGTTCATCACAGGCATTCACCTCTAACTGTATGAGGTCTACATGTGACCATAAATGACTTTATTTTTGTCATAGAGGTGACATAAATGCTCCCCAAAGGTGTAAATCATGTTGCGCTATTCTGAAGTTCTTTTTTTTTTTCCCTCACCCGAGGACATTTTTCCATTTTTTGTTCAGGTAGAGTGGGAGGGAGAGAGAGGAACAGAGAGAGAGAGAGAAACATCGATGTGAAAGGAACACATCGAGTGGCTGCCACCCGCACAACTGACCAGGGCCAGGGACAAACTGCAACCGAGGTACATGCCCTTAGCGGGAACCGAACCCGGGTCTCTCAGGACCGCAGGCCGACGCTCTAACCGCTGAGCCAAACCGGCCAGGGCTGAAGTTCTTAATACTGTGTTTTTGGTGAGGGACAGCACTAGGTACGGCATCTGAATAAACATGTAGAGACTCAGTCTTGTCAGTATTCTTTGGTAGAAAATCTTTGATTTGTCTAATAGGTGGGGAAAGATGATAAGCAGAAATACACTGCTTAGTAAGCTTTAGAGTCAAACAATCTAGGTTTAAATTCCAGTTTCTACAAACTGCTAGCTGTTTGGACAAGTTGCTTCATCTCAGATTCAATTTCTCTGTCTTTGAACTAGGGTTAACTATGATGGACAGTAATTGGAAGAATCTTATTAAATGTGCAAAGTTCCTGGCATATACGCATTCAGTAAATTGTGACCATTCCTATAATAATATCTCACTGATATTCCTAAGCATTAATTTACTCAAATCAGTTTGAATGACTAACAATTTCTTTTATTTCCAGGAATGTTTCTCCAGTGGGTACTTTGCGCTGCCATATGGTTGGTTGCTTTGGTGGCCAAGCTGATATTACACTGCCCTAAATTCTGGCCTTTTGTGATGGTTCAGGGCTGCTTTTGGGCAACAGATAAAGTATGATATAATTTATCATTTAATACTTTAATCAATTTGTACTATGCTCAAAATAACTGTGGTTCATAATAGAAGGAAATAGCACAAACAATAATTCTGAATAATCGTTAAACATAAATACTAGAGATTGATCATTTAGTTTCTTTCATTCAGATGTTCCATAAATATTTTTTTTCTTTCTTTTATTTTTAATCCTCACCTGAGGACACTTTTGCATTCATCTTCAGATAGAGCAAGAGGGAGAAAGGGAGGAAGAGAGAGAAACATCGATGTGAGAGAGACACATCGAGTGGTTGCTACCCACATGACCCCAACCGGGGCCGGGGACCAACTGCAACCAAGGTACATGCCCTTAGCAGGAACCGAACCCGGGTCTCTCTGGACCGTGGGCCGACGCTCTAACCGCTGAGTCAAACCGGCCAGGGCTCCAGAAATATTTTTGATGCACTTTCTTACTCCTCTTAATGATTTATTTCTTAGTCCCTGATAGAAAGTATAGCAAAAATATTACAATTGTTCTCTATCTGTTTAAGCATAACTCACATATGAGTTTAAGAGTTCTGGCCTTTCTCTAGCATATTTATCAGAAAATATTTATTAAATAGTAGTCTCTACTAATATCATTTTTAAGAGTTGTCTTTTAAAGTGGGTAAGCACAGATACATTATCATTTCAAAAGCACTGGCAGAAAAATAATAATAAAGCTTCCCTCTGTTGCCTTATCAATACCTGAAATTATATAAGTAGAATTTATGCCTTTGCTTGGCCAATCAAGAATGTATAAGTACATCCCTGGAGAGCTTTCTTCCCTTTAGCAAAGGAAGTTTTAAGGATCTTTAGAGGTAATTTGATTAAAAGAGAATACATTTTAAAATGTTAGCCCTGGCCAGTTTGGCTCAGCGGTTAGAGCGTTGGCCTGCGGTCCAGAGATACCCGGGTTCAGTTCCTGCTAAGGGCATGTACTTCGGTTGCAGTTTGTCCCCGGCCCTGGTTGGCTCATGTGGGTGACAGCCACTCGATGTGTCCCTTTCACGTCGATATTTCTCTCTCTCCCTCTCCCTCTCTCTCTCTCTCTCCCTTCCACTCTGTCTGAATAAAGAATGGAAAAATGTCCTCAGGTGAGGATAAAAATAAATAAATAAATAAAATGTTAGAAGTTTATTGGGTACTCACTTAATTTGAATATCTGCAGAATAAATTATTTAATGAAGTTCATGAATTGGAAGACAAAAAAGTTAACTTTTATATTTCCACTAGAATTTAAATTGTTATCCCTCTTACATCTTAGTGTTATTATGTGTTTATCATATCTAACTGGGATAGGGGAACAGAGAAAGCACCCATTCATTCTGCATATCTTGATAACTACCCACAGTATTTATATTCACCCAGCAGGTTCTACCAGGAGTCAACAGGGAAGGGTCTAATTTTAGATATGTTGCAGATGTGGATGTTATAGGTCATAGTAACTGATTTGATATGGGTAGTAGACAAAACAAAAGAGCCTATGACAATGAAGGGACTTTATTGTAGGTGATCAGGAGGGTGGTGGTATCAACGACATGGGTGAGGAAAATAGGGGGGAAAACATGTTTGAAAGGGAAAATGATGAGTTCAGCTTGGGACCATTTGAGTTTGAAGTCCCTAATGTTTCCACAGTGTGGGAAGTCTGGTTGGAAATCTTTTACTGACAGTTTAAAGCCTAAAACTATGGAGAAGGTTCAGGCCAGACCTATATAGCTGGGAGTGTCCCTCTAGTTGACAGCTGAAATCATGAAATTAGCCAAGTACCCAAAATAGAATATAGAAAGAGGTGGAATGTGTTTTAGAGAAATTATTCAGTAAGTACTTAAATCTTGGAAGAAAGAGCTAAAGAGAGGAACAGGAGGGAATCCAGAAAAGAGGGTATCCTAGAAGTCCAAAGAGGAAAGCTTTCGAGAAAAGGTTGCTGGACTGAAGCCAGGCTCTGAGGGACGAAGTAATGAATGCAGGAATATAGAACACAAGTCAGTGAGGATGGGAGAGCAAAATCTGGGGTCATAGTGGGCCGAAGACTTCTACCAGTTGTTGGCTCTGGTTCAAGTTTAAGAGGATGATCGCTGCTAATTTAATCATTGATGGTTACTGCAAAAGTCAGAGAACAGAGATCTACCTTAAGGTTGAAGACTATCGGTACAGTTAGGCAAGGAGCTATTCAACATTTTTCATTTTTTTGTATGATTTTGCTCTAAGTCAAGTTCTTTTAGCAATTATGATCCTGAGCTTAAAGTAAAAAATGTGGTTATTTTAATTAAACAATGAGGAATTATGATTTATTAAATCTGTCCCAATCCCATAAATTTCCATTGAAGTTAAAATAAAAATTAATTTATAAATGTATTTTCTGCATTGAAAACAATACCTTTTTTCTGTATGTTACATCTACAGGGAACATTGCTGTTGTCCTGATTATGAAAACCATTGGTTTAGGCCTTGGACTCTTAATCTGAGGATCATTTAATGCCTTAACAGTTAAGGCTTAACTGGTTGGGCAAGCTCAAGGTAACACAAAGATAACTGTTTCAAGTAAGATTCTCTGAGCTTATACTCTACATAAGGTTCGAGCTAGGGACTTGGTCTAACTGAGAGGAGTAACATGGTTCCTATTTTTTTAGAGATTACAGTTAAGATGTATGCATAAAATATGCTGCCTTTAATTATTATTTGCCCTAAGTGCCAAAGAAGTGATCTAGATATTTGTACAAGATATAGTAAAGAATTATCTTGAGGTTAAAAAAGCGGGGAGAGAGAAGGGGAGCTGATGTTTATCTTCCCTTTCTACTGTATGACAATGTGTTGGACACATTGTATACATCATTCTCAGCTCATTTTCACAAATATATGAGGCAAGCATGATCTTATAAGAGAGCTGATACACAATGAGGTTCAGTAACTTGCTGAAGGTCACAGAGCTAATAAGCCAGATTCAAGCCCAGGTCTTCTAGTTCTGAAGCATATATTCTCCCCTCCAGAGTCTGGGCCAGGGACAGCAAAACGGGGGCCAACTTCCCAGACAGTATTATTATTGGAACACAACCAAACTGATCCATTTAAGTGTTGTCTATGGCTGCTCTTAGACTACAATGACAGAGTTGAATAGTTGCAAGATGCCCATAAGCCTAAAATATTTTCTCTCTGCTACTTTAAAGAAGAATTTGCCAACCCAGTTATAGAGCTTGGTTGTCCAATATAGTTGCCACAAGCCACGTATGGCCATTTATATTTAAATTTACAACAGTATGATGGTTACCAATGGGAAGAGGTTGGAGGCAGTAAAGGGGAAAGAGGGTCAAATGTATGGTGATGGAAGAAGATTTGACTTTGGGTGGTAAACACAATGCAATATAGAAATGATGTAACATAGAACTACACACTTGAAACTTACATAATTTTATGAATCAATATCACCCCAATAATTGAAAAAATAAATAAATAATAATAAAAAAAAAAAGCCCTGGCCAGTTTGGCTCAGTAGTTAGAGCATCGGCCTGCGGACCTGCAGACTGAAGGGTCAAAGTCTGATTCCCAGTCAAGGACACGTACCTAAGTTGTAGGTGTGTTCTCTGGCCCTGGTCAGGGTCGTGGAAGAGGCAACCAATTGATATGTCTCTCTCACATCAGTGTTTCTGCCCCCCACCCCTTCCCGGCCTTCCACTCTATCTAAAAATTAATAGAAAAATATCTTTGGGTAAGGATTAACAAAAATAATTCTTTTAAATATAAAAATATAAATTTAAATTAATCATGATTTGATAAAATTAAACACTCAGTTTCTTGTTTGCACTAGCCACAAGGCAAGTGCTCGATAGCCATCTGTGCCTAGAAGCTGCCCTGTGGTGCAATGCAGCTGTAGACAGTCCCTACACACAGAAAGTTCTAGTGGGCTGCCCTGCACTGCTCTCCGTCAGCATTAAGATTAACCTTCAAGCAGGGTTTGGGAAAATTAATAAAAGGGCGGGTATTACTTTCACCTTACATTTTTATCTCGTCTTTCCACTTAAGCAGTACAACAACTTTAATGATAACAAAACAAACTAACCTCCAATACATTCTTTCCTGTCCTTTCCCCATTTCCCACAGTGCTTTTTACATGCAGTTTTCCCTTTTCCTTCTTGCTTCCTTTTCTCTCGCCCCTGGATGTGTCCCAGTGATTGCTGCTTTCTGACCCTGAGCCCATGCCCTTTAACACCATGATGAACACATTTTCAACAGCATCAACTTTGACATGACTTTCTCATTTCCAGGTGTGGCTGGTCTGGAATGGATGCAGGAGTAGCAAAACCACTGCTGAATTACTTTCGTGCTGGGCTATCAGTAGTAAGGTAAACATCTATTTCTAATGATTTGCTATTCTTCTAAACATTTACAGTACTTATTAAAGATCCTGACGTGTTTACATTTTTTAAAACTCGCATTTCATAAATTGACATGATTTTCCCTCAGATTCTTCATTTACGCTGACAGACTTGGCTTGAGAGGACGAAACACACCAGCTCTGGGGTCAGGAGTCCAAGCTTTAGCTCTCAAAAGCTCTGAGACCCTGGGAAAATCATGTAGCTCCTTTCAAGCTCACTTTCATTATCTGTAATTTTTAGAAAATCTTAATACATGGATTAAAAATTAGAATTAGCCCAGCAGGTGTGGCTCAGTGGTTGAGCGTCGACCCATGCACCAAGAGGTCGCCAGTTCAATTCCTGGTCAGGACACATGCCCAGGTTGTGGGCCCGATCCCCAGTTGGGGGCATGCAGGAGGCAGCCAGTCAATGTTCTCTCTCATCAATGTTTCTATCTCTCTCTCCCTTCCTCTTTCCTCTTTCTCTAACATCAATTTTTAAAAAAGGTAATAAATAAATAAATAAATAAATAAATAAATAAATAAATATTAGAATTAAATAGCACATTAATGTATTTTGCAAACTAAAAAAAAAAAAAAAAAAAAATGCTTTTTATGTAAATGTTGTGCTGACTTCCTGGAGCCCCTGGAACAGCCTCTGATTTTCTCAGGTTGTTGCTCCCTTGCTCTGTGCCACCCAATCTCCACGTCCCTGTCTCTTCACTCAACTCCCCCTAACCCAGTTAGATAACAAACTCTATCATCTATGCGAACACACACCCACTTAAATATTTTTAGAGGTATCTGTGTCTAGTTATACATTCCAGATGAATGAGGATGAAAATGACTTTGAATCTCTATACGGTGTTCAGTCAATAAAACTCTAACAGAAATTAGGTCACCTTAAATCCAGTCCCCTTTCCTCCCTAGACTCCATTTATATTGCCTGTCAGTGCCTCACATAATGGATAGCACTGGCTGGGAAGATTTTAGCACTGTTTTATTCTTCAGGGAAAGAACCCTGTATTTCCCTTCCACCTGCAATGATAGCTTTTCCCCAGCCACACTCAGAAACAAGCTCTTTGTCATTGAAATGTTGCCTTAGAGAGTGGTTCCAGGCCAACTGGAGAAGAAATAACATAGATTATTCTAAAATAGCAGATTCCTGACATTTTTTAGTTAGAGGCGATTTTATGTATTTTGTGCAATGCATATGGCATTCTGGCTTTAAATAGCTCTCAAAAACAGTTTCTTTATACCCCAAGACTGTAATGTTAGCATGCTTTAGTTTTGACTTAATGGGAATTTAAGGCCAGTTTACCCAGCCCATGAGGCCTTATTTTTCTCCATATTTCTTCTTTCTGTAGGAAGTATACATTCTCTAAAATTACAAATTATTCATGTTCTACTGCCTCTACCTGTGTGAACTTGGTCAAATAACTTAAATTCTCTAAGCTTTGGTTTCTTCATCTGAGGATAAATTTGAGATAATAATCGCACCAGCCTCATAAGATATTTTGAGGATTAAATGAAATAAAATATATTAAGTGCTTTGCGCAGTGCTAGACACATTGCTATTGCTCTATACATTGGGTATTTTTTTTAAAACATAATAGACGTTTTTACTAACTATTTCATGTTTATTTACTGTTTCCCCTTTGGACAAATCTTGTCCAGCTCTGTGTTAAACTAATCAGTGCACGCGGGGGCACATGAAGCTTGTTTTGGAGCTTGGTCAGTGGCCGGGGATGCGATTCTCTCTTTCTGTAGTGCTTCTTGGCTCCCTTCTCTGCTTCTTTCCTAAGAGGAATTTCTGGAGCCTTTCATTTCATTATTTTAACTCAGTCAAATCAGTTTGTTCTGAAGGGCATTAACTGAATAAGCTGGAGTTCCATGGTCAGTGTAATGAAACTTGGAATATGGTTACACTGGTTTAAGATGTTGCTCCTATCCTCCGTACAATCCAGTCTTTAAAGGAAGGGGTAGATCATTTCTAGCCGTACATTTTCCCCATGTGATATCTAAGGTACGTTTCAGTCAGTCTCTACAACCAATCTTCTCTGGGTCCTGGAAACAGCAGAGGATTTCACACAGGGGATTGTCCACCCAAGTGCTGTAAGGCCCGGGGAGCAGGAGGAGGGAGGTGGTACCGCCCTACGCCCTGGAGCCCCTGCCCTGAGCGACCTTGCTGCTACAATTTCTGGAGCCATCACCAAAACAGAATGGCATCTCCCACCTTTTAATCTCAGGCGGATGCCTCCCAGTAGCAAATCCTAGCTGCTAATACCTGGAGAAACGCAGCTTTCAGTCTTCCAAGCCCCATACTCAGACCAGAATATGTAAGGCTGAAAGCAGAGCTGACAACACGACATGTCCAGGACACTCTTAAACATGTCTAGGGAGGGCCCAGGACTCACAGTTCAGAAAGGGCAGATTTTCTTTCCAATGAAAAAAGAAATGCTCTGGATTATCCTGGAGTCTATTCTACATTCTTTTCTCTTCTCCCTTAACTGGCTTTCTCCGGAGAGTTGCGGGGTAAGGAAGCCCAGATCTTTGTTTCTAGCCATTACCTTTCTCCAGAGCCACAGTCCTTACATCTAACTACGGACCAGGCCTCCCAGGCATCTCCTGCTCAGCCTGAGGTGCGATAGGGATGGGGACTCTGCTAGTTCAGGAGCATGGCCAGTACACAGACTGTGAGTTCCTTTCTCTTTGCCTTCAACATTTGCCAGTCAGAATTGCTTTGCTTTTTAACCCTTCCCTGCAGACTGGTTCCTCATTCCCCCTCTTTGTAGAAGGTGTTAGCCACAATCATACAAAATCAAAACCTCCGTCGCCTTCATCTTTCTTTTCATTGTACATACCACCCTATATCTAAAGTTATAAAAGTCTGAATATTTCACTAGTTCTTCTCCATCACCTTGGATCCTTACTACCTACCCACCTGCAGACAAATATGAAAAGCTCACATGTATTTTCCCTAGTTCCTTTCTTCCTTTTGCCAGTGTGACTTGCTTGTATGTGCTATCAAATTACATTTGTCTTGCCCTGGCCAGTTTTGCTCAGTGGTTAGAGCGTCAGCTTGCGTACCAGAGAGTCCTGGGTTTGGTTTCCGCTAAGGGCACATACCTTGGTTGCAGTCTGTCCCCGGCCCCGGTTGGGGTCGTGTGTGTCTCTCCACTTGATGTGTCTCTCTCACATCAATGTTTCTCTCTCTCTCTTCCTCCCTGTCTCCCTCCCGCTCTATCTGAAGACAAAAATGTAAAAATGTCCTCAGGTGAGGATAAAAAAAAAATCACCTTTATCTCCCTAATTTGGCATATCCTCCACAGTGGTAGTTTCAGCCCCTTTATTAGTACATCTTTCTCCCTGTATAGTTGTCCTCAATCATAGGGCATTGGTTTCAGACCTCCTGCAGATACCAAAATCATGGATACTCAAGTCCCTTATATAACACAATCCTCCCATATACTTTAAATTGTTTCTAGATTACACATAATACTTAATACAATGTAAATGCTGTGTAAATAGTTATTATACTGTATTGTTTAGGGAAGGATGGCAAGAAAAAACATCTGTACATGTTTAGTACAGATAAAACCATGTAGTACATGTCCATGTACTACATAGTATATGTCAGCAACAACATAACATTTTTTCAAATATTTTCAATCTGCAGTTGGTTCAGTCTACAGATACGGAACCCACAGATACAGAGGGCCAACTGTATTGACAATTCATCGACAGGATTATTTATCACACCATAACCCAGACATTTTCCTCAGCCCAAAGGCCCTTTTCTCAGCCTCCTTTGTCACCCTATGTGATGTTTCCTTAATTTCCTTCTTAATTAGAATGAGTCACCCCAAAATTTTCATTGCATTTTGTATTCCTTCTATTATCAAAATTCTCAGGATTTGTTTAGTATTATTCATATAACACTCTATCCTTGAATTATGAGATCCTGGAGGACAAGTCTATTATTTTCTTTGTACGATATTTCCCCTACCACTACCATCAGACTTTGCTATAAGGAGCTTGACAAATAATAGATGCTCAATAAATAGATGCTTGTAGAATTTAATTTTCAGTGTATATACACGCTCACACACATCAATTTTACTAATACTAAGAGGTATAGGTTGCAAATCTAGGGAAACTGGGAGGTTGGAAATGTAAAGTAGCATTCTTGGGTATAACATTGATTTTTGCCCTTGCTGTTTTCCATTCTGCTGACAATATTCATAGCCTGTATCATGTAACTTTGTGTGTGTGTGAAGCACTGCACCAAGTTCTTTAAGCCTGTAGCTGAAAAGACCTTGTGATCTACTTGATTTGATGTTCATATACATAAGATAAATCTCATGACTTTGTCCTAACTTGGTGCCGACATAGCCTCTCTTGACCTAATTGAACCATGAGGTTCTTCTTTCCGACTTACTATTTTGTGACTAGCACTAATCACACAGGCTCAAAACCTCCGATTTCTTAGTCTTGATTTCTTCCTCATTCTCAGTAACCCCATTTTCCATCCAATTTGTAGTGAAGGCTCTCTATTTACTAACATGTTTTGAGATTTTTACCATGTGCCAAAAGTACACTGAGGATTTTGTGTTCATTATTATTTAATTCTCATCATAGCTCAGTAAAGTGGATATATCCCCACAGTTTTATTTTTTATTTTTCTTTATTGATTTTAGAGAGATAGGAAGGGAGAGGGAGAGGGAGACAGAAGAATCAATGAGAGAACATTGATTGGCTGCCTCCTGCACGCCCCCCACTGAGGATCGGGCCCACAACCTGGGCATGTGCCCTGACCGGGAATCAAACCAGCAGCCTCTTGGTGCATGGGTCAATGCTCAACCACTGAGCCACATCGGCTGGGCATCCCCACAGTTTTAGATGAAAAGAAGTTGAGGCTTAGAGAGGTTAAGCTCTTTGTTGGAAGATCGGTCATACTGTTATTTGAATTAATACTGAACAAGAACTTTTATTGGTATCCTTCTGGCATTTCTGACATATTAGCCTGCATTGTTATTAGAAAAACACACTGGTCTATACCAAGTAAAGGGTTTTCATTATAACTGTGAGAAGAAAATGCAATTTCAATATCTGATATTAACCTTTGAAAATTAATCTGTGTAAGCACACACACACAAATTTAAGTCATTAAGATATAGGCAAATAATTAGATTTTACACATTCCACTTTACTGACCTTTAAGTACTTTGAAGTCCTTGAAGGAGACATAAGATGTGATTCCTATCTTCTATTAAATTAGAAACTCTTTAGAGAAAAAAGATTACGTGGATTTGTGGCAAATGGTCTGGATTTTGTGATGACTGTTCTCAGTGTTGTGGGGATTCGGAGAAGCGTAAGATTAGTGAGGACTGACCTGGGGAGATGTTCTCTTCTCAAATTCAGCACTTCATTTCCTTAGTAAGAGAGTAGTGTGTCCAGATATGTGAGAAACATGAGCAAGAGCAGACAGTTGTGAAAGGTTGGGGAAGGAGGGAGCCTTGGAGCAGGTGTGGTTAGAGGGAGACCTCCATGTGGGGAATCCCACTGAGATGGTTTGGGTGAAACATAATGCAGAGAGCAATGAAAATCAAAAAGGAAAGTTAAATTCCCAGTGGAAGGGATTGTGGATCCATTCAAATTTTTAAAGCAAGTAAGATACTGAACTAAGGAAGCTAACTACAAAATATTTTGTTTTTACCTGAAAGATAGCACATCATATTCGCTATTTCACACTTAGCTATCTACACTAGTTCAACCACGTGTGTACTTTGAAAACTTATTATATTGCTGTAACGTTTGAACCATGCACACTTATTAAAATAGAATGTCAAAAGCATATTAATGTTGTGAGTTTTCTTACATTGATTTAATATTTTCATACATTTGCAGGGTTCAAAAGTCAACAGTGAGTGAGGCATTCATTACAAGGATACGAAGAGAAAGTACATTATGAGAGAGGTGTTAAGAGAGAAAAAGTCATTAGGCTATGCATGTGTTTTTATCTCTTAAAATATATTCTAGAGATCTTTGCTTATCAGAGCATACAGGGCATCCTCGCTTCCTTTTATAGCTGCATAGTATTCCATTGTGTGATCATGAATGTCAACTTGCCTGAGTGTGATGTACCTGTATTATAGGTCCTAGAACAGTATTGGTGAGGTCAGGATTGGACACACCTGTGGCTTTGGTAGATGGCCCCAGAGTCTCCTCCATGGGAGTTGCATAGTTCTGCACCTCTATCAGAGGTATCTGTTTCCAGCTGCGATGTTATTAAAACTTGTGGGAGGGGTTTCAATAGAATAGGTTTTAAAAATGTTATTTCAAGGTATTTTTTATCTGCTTTGTTTCACTGTGATTCCAGGGTTAAGCAGGAATAAAAAGAAAGATGGAACCATTGACTGAAACTAGAAAATCAGGAGGAAGATCTGATTTAGGGGGAAAGCCTGTGAGCTTAGGTTTTAACCTGTTGCGATTCAGGACAATGAGAGATCCCGAAGAGAACGACAGTCCTGGGAAAACGGCAGGACCACTGAAGAGGCAGTTTGGAAGTAATTATCATGCCAGAAGAACTTGATTTAAGCTGTGCTTTTTCTTAAAAGTTAAGCAACTTGATATGAACCAGAGTTCATGATAAATATTAAAAAGTATTTTTTTTACAGTGCTTTCATATTTTTGTTTATTAAAGTGAAACACCAAATAACACGTGTTCTCTGGACATCACACTATTAATGACAGAACCCGTGAGTATAATATGATAGACAAATTGATTTGAAACATAAAATTAAGATAAAAGGGCCCTGGCCAGTTTGGCTCAGCAGTTAGAGCGTTGGCCTGCAGACCAAGGAGTCACAGGTTCGATTCCGGTCAAGGGCACGTACCTGGGTTGTGGTTAGTCCCCGGCCCTGTGCAGGGTTGTGCAGGAGGCAACCAGTCAGTGTGTCCCTCTCACGTGGATGTCTCTCTCTCCCTCCCTCCCACTCAATCTGAAGATAAATAGAAAAATATCTTCAAGTGAGGATTAAAAAAAAATTAAGATAAAAGGAAAATGCATAGATTTGAAACAAAGATGGTACTGGGTTTTTTTGTTTGTTTTTCAATCGGTGTTATCTAAAATATCTGATTTAGCCCTGGCCAGTTTGGCTCAGCGGTTAGAGCGTCTGCCTGCGGTCTGGAGAGACCCGGGTTCGGTTCCCGCTAAGGGCATGTACCTCGGTTGCAGTTTGTCCCCGGCCCTGGTTGGTCGTGCGGTTGGCAGCCACTTGATGTGTCCCTTTCACATCGATGTTTTCCTCTCTCTCTCTCCCTCCCACTCTGTCTGTACAAAAAATGGAAAAATGTCCTCGGGTGAGGATAAAAAATAAAATAAAATAAAATAAATAAAATAAATAAAATATCTGATTTATTACAAGAAGGCCTATGTAGCAATCAATATTTCCCCAGAAAACCTTCTCAGCAAACACAGAAGTCTGTTTATTTTTGTTAACAGTTGAGTCCTACTAGAAGATGTATATACAAGCCCATATTTTGGAATGATGTAATGATTTATAGAAGAACCATGATTATTATAGAGAAATATGAAAGTTACTTTAGAAAGGAGGGGGAAGGTGGTTTTAAAGTGGTCCCAGGGAGGGCAGGGGGAAATGGGTCAGAAGAAGCCAATAAAAGTGTAAGCCATACAAAGGTAAAAATTGGACTTCATTTTTTTCCTTGTTTCTCTTTTCTGCCATATTCTGATCCACTCAAAGGTAAAGGCAGGAAATGTGTAAGGACTGACTGTTTTGATTTTTATGAAACTGAAATTGAAAATCTAGATTAAATAGGAACAATCTTTAAAAGAGACCTGACAAAGCAGAAGTGCCAAGACTATGTACAGAACTTCCGGTCACGATGGCGGCGTAGGTAAACGTGGTATCGCGTCCTCCCACAACCACACCAAAGTTACAACTAAACTACAGAACAACCATCATTCAAAGCCGCCTGACATCGAGCTAAATGGAAGTCCTACAACTACGGAATTAAAGCAGCAGCCACATCCAGACTGGTAGGAGGGGCGGAGGTGGACAGGCTGGTCCCACACCCACGTGTGGTGGAAAAAAATCAGGAGGACACCTCGGCTGAGAAGATCCTCCCTGAGGACTGAGGGGTACCCGGCCCACACCAGATGCCCTGCTCAGGGTTCCAGTGCCAGGAAGAGAATCCCCATAACTTCTGGCTGGAAAAACCAGCGGGAACTGAGGCTCAGGGAGGCTGAGGTGGCTGGAGCCCCAGGCAGCTCCTTAAAGGGCCCACGCACAGACTTACCAGACTCACTCCCTCTAAACTTGGAGTGGAGGCAGCTCGAGAGGTGCCAGAGACATACAGGGAAGAACTGAGCTGTTTGGCCTGCAGAGGAGGGCTGGAAAGGGGGCTTTCTCCTGGACAGATGTGCTGTCAGAGGCCTTTGTTCCTTTGGTGAGCCCTTCCTTGGGGTGTCAGACAGACAACCTGGCTCACACTGGTAGCCCTGCCCCGCCCCACTCCAGCACACTCGTTCACACTGGTTGCCCCGCCCTGGTGATTCCTGGAGGCCCTGCCCCACCCCACCCAACTTTCAGGCCCACCCAAGCTGTTGCCACTTGCTTTACCATAGGATTGGCCTGTCTTAGATCCTGTTTCAGGTTTTCCTAAATTCTTTCAAACAAGCAGCATCTGATCTCAGCTAGCCCCTTACCTCTCATTAAGTATTACATAAAAGCAGGCACAGGGAGGTGGCCAGAATGAGGAGACAAAGAAATAGGTCCCAGGTAAAAGAACAGAATAAAACTCCAGGAAAAGAATTAAGTGAAATGGAGATAAGCAACCTACCAGATGCTGAGTTTAAAATACTGCTTATAAAGATGCTCAATGAACTCAGTGAGAACCTCAATAAACTTAGTGAGAACCTCAGTGAACTTAGTGAGGGCCTCAAGAGCATAACAAAGGACCAGGCAGAAATGAAGGATGCCCAGTCAGAAGTGAAGGAGGCACTAACTGAAATAAAGAATAATTTACACAGATTCAATAGTAGAGTAGGGACTTCCGGTCAAGATGGCGCGTATCGCGTCCTCCCACAACCCCATTAAAGTTACAACTAAACTACAGAACAACCATCATTCAAAACCGCCTAAAATCAAGCTGAATGGAAGTCCTACAACTACGGAATTAAAGCAGCAGCCACATCCAGACTGGTCTAACACCCAAGTGTGGCAGATAAAAATCAGGAGGCTCCCACAGCTGGGAAGGTCCTTCCTGAGGACTGAGGGGTCCCCGTCCCACACCAGGTGCCCCACTCAGGGTTCCAGTGCCAGGAAGAGAAGTCCCCATAACTTCTGGCTGGAAATACCCGTGGGAAACTGAGGCTCAGGGAAACTGACATGGCTAGAACCCCAGGCAGCTCCCTAAAGGGCCTGCGCATGCACTTATCAGACTCTCTCCCTCTAAGCTTGGAGGGGAGGCAGCTCCACGGGCGCCAGAGACATACAGGGAAGAACTGAGCTGTTTGGCACTGGAGCGAGGGCTGGAGAGAGGGTTTTCTCAGGGACAAACGTGCTGTAAGAGGCCTTTGTTTCTTTGGTGAGCCCTTCCCTGGGGCGGCAGACAGTCGCCATATCTGGGACTCCAGCAACCTGGCTCACACTGGTAGCCCCGCCCTGTTGATTCCCTGAGGCCCCACCCCACCCCTCCCCACCCCTCCCCACCCCTCCCCACCCCTCCCCACCCCTCCCTACTTTCAAGCCCACCCCAACCTACTTTCAGGCCCACCCAAGCTGTTGCCACTTGCTTAACCATAGGATTGGCCGGTCTTGGATCCTGCTTCAGATTTTTCCTAAATTTTTTCAAACGAGCAGCATCTGGTCTCAGCGAGCCCCCATACCTCTCATTAAGTAATACACTGAAACAAACACAGGGAGGCAGTCAAAATGAGGAGACAAAGAAACAGGTCCTAAATGAAAGAACAGAACAAAACCACAATAAAAGAACTAAGCGAAATGGAGATAAGCAACCTAACAGATACTGAGTTCAAAATACTGCTTTTAAGGATGCTCAGTGAACTTAGGGAGGGCCTCAAGAGCATAAAAAAGGACCAGTCAGAAATCATGGGATTGAAAAAAAATGGTGGCGGAGTGAACGGAGCTACACAGACCATCTCCCAGAACCAAACTGCATTTACAACAATAACACAGACAAATCGACGGGAAAAAGCAACAGAAAAGCAGCTTGCGAGGACCATACAATGAGGGACACTGACTCCATCCCGGTAGGCTTGCGAAGGCGCGATACGGGGGCAGGGAGCCCACGGTTGGCAGCTCGGCAGCGGCCTTAGCTGGGAGCAGCTCCCTCGGGTTACACTCCTAGGCGGCTCCACAGCGCAGCCGGGACAGAGGCTGAAACAGCCACAGCCACTTGGGCTCCGGCAGAGGGAGGGCGGACTGGACTGGAACTGTGTTGGGACACTCGGGGTTTGGAGGGCGCTCAGACCTTTGGCTGAGTGCAGACCGTGACCACATTGCTCCTTCCCAGGGCTCTGAGGAGAGGCAGCAGCCCCTCCCTCGGAGATCCAACCCCACCCTGTGGGCCATTGAAGTGCTAATTGAGGCTCACTAACAACCAGCATCTGCCCCACCCTCGTGAAAGCCCCTTGGCTGAGCACCAGAGGGAGTTTTTCAATCAACTAACAACCTAAAACTCATCAATTAACCTAGACTGCTAGCCTCCAGGCAAAAGGCTGGAGGATAACAGTACGTTTCCTGGGCTGGCAACTTTAACCAGGAAAGTAAGACTTGACAGTGGTGTTCAACGTGGGTCCTCCCTCGCTCATCTAAACACAGGAGAGGGAGCCACAAACAGCAGAACACCAACACCCACAGGGAGAACTTGACAGGCTCCAAAGCCCACAGTGATAGCCAAAATGGTGAAACACAGAAACAGAAGCCAAATGAAAGAGCAAGACACCTCCACCAAAGATGAGATCAATATGGAGCAATTAGGCATGTTGACAGAGCTAGAATTCAGAGCCATGATCTTGAGGAAGCTGAACAGCATGAGTAAGGACATAGAGACACTTAAAATAAGCCAATTGGAAATTAAAAGCCAACAAGAAGAGATAAAAAATGACATATCCGAAATGAAAAACACATTGGAAGGTATAAAAAGCAGAGTAGGGGAAACTGAGGACCGGATCAGTGAATTAGAAGACAGCGTAGAAAAAATCGACCAATCAGAAAAACAAAAGGAAAAAACTATTAAAAAACAGGAAGACAGCTTAAAAGAACTATGGGACAACTGGAAACGTAATAATATTCGCATCATAGGAGTCCCCGAAGAAGAAGAAAAGGAGCAAGGGATAGAGAATATATTCAAAAACATAGTGAGAGAAAACTTCCCTAATTTGGTGAAGGAAGAAGGCATTCAAGTTCAATAAGCACAGAGAGTCCCAAGTAAGAAGAACCCAAACAGGCCCACACCAAGACACATAGTAATTAAAATGCCACAAATTAAAGACAAAGAGAGATTCCTAAAAGCAGCAGGAGATAAGCAACAGGTTACCTACAAAGGAAACCCCATAAGGCTCTCAGCTGACTTCTCACAAGAAACACTACAGGCCAGAAGGGAATGGCATGAAGTAATCAAAGTCATGAAAGACAAGAATCTGAATCCAAGACTACTCTACCCAGCAAGGCTATCATTCAAAATAGAAGGTCAAATAAGGAGCTTCCCAGACAAAAAAAGGCTAAGGGAATACATTAGCACCAAACCAGCACTGCAAGAAATGTTAAAAGGACTGCTGTAATTAGCAGTAGAAATGGGAAGAAAAATGGAACCACACTAAACAAAAATGGCAATAAATAAGTACATATCAATAATCACCTTAAACGTAAATGGATTGAATGCTCCCATAAAGAGACATAAAGTAGCTGATTGGATAAGAAAGCATGACTCATCTATATGTTGTTTACAAGAGACCCACCTCTCAACAAAAGACTCATATAGGTTGAAAGTGAAGGGATGGAAAAAAATTTTCCAAGGAAATGGAAAGCAAAAAAAAGCTGGGGTAGCAATTCTCATATCTGATAAAATAGATTTCAAAATGAAGACCATAACTAGAGACAAAGATGGCCACTACATAATATTGAAAGGATCTATCCAACAGGAAGATATAACCTTGATAAACATATATGCACCCAATATAGGAGCACCAAAATATATTAAAAATCTTCTGGAGGACTTCCAAGGAGAAATCGACAACAATACAATCATAGCAGGGGACTTCAACACCCCGTTGACAGCACTGGATAGATCCTCTAGGCAAAAAATTAGCAAGGAAACAGAGACTCTAAATGAAGCACTAGACCAAATGGATTTAATAGATATCTACAGAGAATTACACCCCAAAACTACAGAATACACATTCTTCTCAAGTGCACATGGGACATTCTCAAAGATAGACCACATGATAGGACACAAACTAAATCTCTACAAGTTCAAGAAGATTGAAATCATATCAAGCATCTTCTCAGATCACAATGGCATGAAACTAGAAATCAATTGCAACAAGAACATGCAAAGACATTTCAACACATGGAGGCTAAATAGCATGTTATTAAACAATGAATGGGTCACCGAGAAGATCAAGGAAGAAATTAAAAACTTCCTGGAAACCAATGAAAATGAACACACAACAACACAAAATCTATGGGATGCAGCGAAAGCAGTTCTGAGAGGGAAGTTCATAGCACTACAGGCCTACCTCAAAAAACAAGAAAAATTTCTAATTGACTGTCTAACCTCACAACTTAAAGAATTAGAAACCAAACAAAAAGAAAACCCCAGAGCAAGTAGAAGGAAGGAAATAGTAAAGATCAGAGCAGAAATAAATGACATAGAGACCAAAAAAACAATTCAAAGGATCAATGAAACAAAGAGCTGGTTTTTCGAAAAGATAAACAAGATTGATGGACCCTTAGCTAGACTCACCAAGAAACAAAGAGAGAGAACCCAAATACACAAAATCAGAAATGAAAGAGGAGAAGTAACAACCAACACCACGGAAATACAAAAGATCGTTAACAACTACTACGAACAACTATATGGCAACAAATTCGACAATCTAAGCGAAATGGACAAATTTCTAGAAACACACAGTCTCCAAAAACTATTCCCGGAAGAGATAGAAAACTTGAACAGACCAATAACAACTAAGGAAATTGAAGAGGTAATCAAGACTCTCCCAGCAAACAAAAGCCCAGGCCCAGATGATTTCACGGGGGAGTTTTACCGAACATTCAAAACAGAACTAACACCCATTCTCCTCAAACTATTTCAAAAAATTCGAGAAGAAGGAAGACTTCCAAACACGTTCTATGAGGCCAGCATAATTCTAATTCCAAAACCAGAAAAAGACACTACAAAGAAAGAAAACTACAGGCCAATATCCCTGATGAACATAGACGCCAAAATCCTGAACAAAATATTAGCAAATCGGATCCAGAAATACATCAAAAAAATTATTCACCATGACCAAGTGGGATTCATTCCAGGAATGCAAGGCTGGTACAATATTCGCAAATCAATAAACGTGATACACCACATAAACAAAATGAAGAATAAAAACTACATGATCATATCAATAGATGCTGAAAAAGCATTCGACAAAATCCAGCATCCATTTCTGATAAGAACGCTCAGCAATGTAGGAATAGAGGGATCATACCTCGACATGATAAAGGCCATATATGAAAGACCTACAGCCAACATCGTACTCAATGGACAGAAACTAAAAACATTTCCATTAAGAACAGGAACAAGACAGGGATGTCCACTTTCGCCACTCTTATTTAACATTGTACTGGAAGTCTTAGCCACAGCAATCAGACATGAAGAAAAAATAAAAGGGATCCAAATTGGAAAGGAGGAAGTGAAACTGTCATTATTTGCAGATGACATGATATTGTACATAGAAAACCCTAAAGACTCCATCAAAAATCTATTAGACTTAATAAATGAATTTGGCAAAGTAGCAGGATACAAAATTAACGTCAAGAAATCGACGGCATTCTTGTACATCAATGATGAACTCACAGAAAGAGAAACTGAAAAAACAATCCCATTTACCATCGCGCCAAAAAAATTACGATACCTAGGAATAAACTTAACCAAAGAAATAAAGGACCTATTTGCAGAAAACTACAGGTCATTGAAAAAAGAAATAGAGGAGATATAAAAAAGTGGGAGCATATACGTTGTTCATGGATTGGAAGAATTAACATAATTAAAATGTCCATACTACCCAAATCAATCTATAGATTCAATGCAATCCCCATCAAAATACCAACGACATATTTCATAGAACTAGAACAAATACTTCAAAAGTTCATATGGAACCAAAAAAGACTCCAAATAGCCACAGCAATCTTGAAAAAGAAGAACAAAGTAGGTGGGATCACAATACCAGATATCAGGTTATACTACAAAGCGACTGTAACCAAAACAGCCTGGTACTGGCACAAGAACAGGCATATAGACCAGTGGAACAGAACTGAAAACCCAGAAATGGACCCCAGGCAATACGCTCAATTAATATTTGACAAAGGTGGCAAGAGCATACAGTGGAGTAAAGACAGCCTCTTTAATAAATGGTGTTGGGAAAATTGGACAGCTACATGCAAAAAAATGAAACTAGACCATCAACTTACACCGTACACAAAAATAAACTCAAAATGGATAAAAGACTTAAATGTGACCCGTGAATCCATAAAAAATCTAGAAGAAAATGTAGGCAACAAAATTTCGGACATCATACGGAGCAGAATTTTCACTGATACATCACCTAAGGCAACAGAAATAAAGGAGAAAATGAACACATGGGACTACATCAAACTAAAAAGCTTCTGCACAGCAAAAGAAACAATCATCAAAATGGAAAGGCAACCCACTGTATGGGAGAACATCATTGCCAATGATGTATCAGATAAGGGGTTAATTTCCAATATATATAGAGTGCTCATACAACTCCACAAAAGGAAGACAAAGAACCCAATTAAAAAATGGGCAGAGGAGCTGAATAGACACCTCTCCAAACAGGACATACAAATGGCCAAGAGACATATGAAGAAATGCTCAACATCACTAATCATCAGAGAGATGCAAATTAAAACAACAATGAGGTATCACCTCACACCTGTCAGAATGGCCGCCATCAACAAATCATCAAACAACAAGTGTTGGCGAGGGTGTGGAGAAAAGGGGACTCTAATACACTGCTGGTGGGAATGCAGACTGGTGCAGCCACTATGGAAAACAATATGGTACTACCTCAAAAAATTAAAAATTGAACTTCCTTTTGACCCAGTGATCCCACTGCTGGGAATATACCCTAAGAAGCTTGAAACACCAATCAGGAAGAATATATGTACCCCCATGTTCATAGCAGCACTATTTACAATAGCTAAGATCTGGAAACAGCCCAAGTGTCCACCAGTAGACGAATGGATAAAAAAGCTGTGGTACATATACACAATGGAGTACTATGCAGCGGTAAGAAAGATCTCTTATCCTTTGAGACGACATGGAGGGACCTGGAAAGTATTATCCTAAGTGAAAGAAGCCAAGCAGAAAAAGACAAATACCACATGATCTCACTTATATACGGAATATAATGAACATAACAGTCTGAGGAATACAGTAGACCCAGACACATGGAAGTAGGGCACAGACTGACATCCCTCAGAAGAGGGGATGGGGGGTGGGGAGGGGGGAAGAGATAAACCACAGAACTTATATGCATGTGTGCATGACCAATGGACATGGACAACTAAGCCGGGGACAGGGTGGAGGGAGGGGTGGGGGTGGGGGGTGTAATGGGGTAAAAAGGTAAAATATCTGTAACAAAAAAATAAATAAAAATTCATAAAAAAAAAAAGAAATATTTGTTCAGAAAAATATTTTTAGTGGTCTCACAATTAGACAGACCTGGTCTATTAGCCTGGTCTGTGTTGAGGACATTCCTCCAGGACCGTGAAGTCCAGGCTTTACCATGATGTAGGATTTCTGACGTGAATAGAGCTCATTTATGAGTTAGCCTTTGAGTTTCTACAAGTTTGTATTCTTTAAAGCTCTATTAAAATAGACTTTAAAATCTATGGTACATATATACAATGGGATACTATGCACCTGTAAGAAAGAACGATCTCTTATCATTTGAGATGACATGGAGGGACCTGGAGGGTATTATCCCAAGCGAAACAAGCCAGTCAGAAGAGGACAAATATCACATGATCTCACTTATTTCTGGAATATAATAAACAAAATAGACCCAGAGACAGACTAACAAACCCCAGAAAGGGGGGGGGGGGAATAAACCACAGAATTTGTTTGTGTATGTGTAATCACAGATATAGACAACAATGCTGAGGATGGGGTGGGGGTCAGGGGTCGGGAGGAGGGTGTCATTGTGGGGGAAAGGAGAAACATGTAACAAAAATAAATTTTTAAAAATAGACTTTTAAGAATTTGGTTTTAAGTTTGGAAAGGAATGGTTTTTGCCTAAAATTCTGCATAACTGCTTGTGATTTACATGTTGAAGCATGCTTCAATTATGATTCCATTTGTGTGTTTGACAGAAATATTGTTTTCAACCAAGATTAATAGTGATCTATTTGTTTTTAAGGGGCTTCAGTCTTGCAGTGATATCTGAAATACTCTATGGATCCACATTTGTGCCAATCATTTATATCAAGGACCACAGCAAAAGAAATGTTGTATATATGCAGGGGCAAGCCAGTATGGTAAAAGTAAAAAGTTATTTTACTTTATCAACAAACTCAATACTGGTTTTTCTACTTAAGAAAGATGAAGGGCCCTGGCCAGTTTGGCTCAGCGGTTAGAGCGTCGGCCTGCGGTCCGGAGAGACCCGGGTTCGGTTCCCACTAAGGGCGCGTACCTCGGTTGCAGTTTGTTTCCGGCCCTGGTTGGTCGTGCGGGTGGCAGCCACTCGATGTGTCCCTTTCACATCGATGTTTCTCTCTCTCTCTCCCTTCCTCTCTCTCCCTCCCACTCTATCTGTACAAAAAATGGAAAAATATCCTCGGGTGAGGATAAAAAATAAAAAAAAAGATGAAGGGATTAAGAAAAACTCATAGCCCTGGCCAGTTTGGCTCAGTGGTTAGAGTGTCGGCCCACAGACCAAAGAGTCACGGGTTCAATTCTGGTCAAGGGCACGTACCTCGGTTGCAGCTCGTCCTGGCCATGGTTGGGGTCATGCAGAAAGCAGCCAGTCAATGTGTCTCTCTCACATCGATGTTTCTCTCTCCCTCTCTCCCCCTCCCTCCTATTCAGTCTAAAGGTAAATAGAAAAACAAATATCCTCAGGTGAGGATAAAAAAAGAAAGAAAAACTCATAGACACAGACAACAATATGATGATTACCAAAGGGAAAGGGGGTGGGAGGAGGTAGAAGAGGGTAAAAGGGGATAAATGGTGATGGAAGGAGACTTGACTTTGGGTGGTGAACACACAATACAATAGTGAGATGATGTATTATAGAACTGTACACGTGAAATTGGTTAAAATTAAAAATTAAAAAAGAATGTGATTGTAGTAAATTGGTACATAGATTTGATCTTACTTTTTCATTGTAAGTGGTGAATTAAAAAGACACTGAAAACTAAAAGTAATAAAGGACTGTTTGAGTTATTTTCATGTGATCTTTAACATACAAATATAATCAACTTTAGTCAGCATTTATTTCAGCTCCTTAGAACTTAACACATGGTTTCTAGCTTCACACTAAGGTTTGGGGATTATTTTCTGGTTAGATGATCTCTGGAAAAATATGTGTTCTTTTTAAAGAAACAAACTAAAGTTCAGTATATAGTCCTTTAAAATCAAGTAAAGATCAAAATATAGGCTTCCTAAAGGTTAAAGTAGAGTCTATTTAGTCAGAGAATATTACTTTTTAAGCACAGAGTGGTGCATTGACAGTTTCGATGTAATGCTCCCTAATCATCTGTTTCTAGTGATAGAATTAATTTCTTAGGCATAAATTCAACACTATGTGCAGTAGCTTTAGTGGAGGCTCAAAAGGAGATGAAAAAGTTTCTACTTTGAAGGTCCTATAATTATGCTGAAACATGGCTACACATGAAATGATAGAAGTATGAGATCATGGATAGTAAAATTCTAAATCAGATGGTTTGGAAAATTAACATGATCTATGTTCAGGACAAGGAGAGGTTTGGAGGGCCAAAGACCTGGGGGAAAGATTGATGGAAAGGCTGAGACTTTAACTAATTTTAAATGAATACATAGACTTTGAGTAGATACCATAGTTGCTTTCTTTCTTTCTATATTCAGCTCCATGAACAATATTCAAACCTTTTATTAACTTCTCTCTTTTCTTTTAGATTTTATACAAATACTTATATTTTTATTCTTTTTTTCCCAAAGGATAAAAATAATAAAAATAGAATAACACATGGGATACATTAAAAGAGAAAGAAAAACAAGAGTGAAAAAATAAAATGGAACCCGAAATGAGTCTAAAAACTGTACCACACTTGTACACTTGGTAGACATGAACCATAAATCTAACTCTAAGATTTCTTATAGCCACAAGAAAAATCAGATCAGTTCCACAATTTAGCAAACACAAGATGTAAACAACTAATTGTTCAGGAGTACAGTTGTCCTTGGTACTGGGACATAATAAACAATGTCCTTGACGATTTCTTTGCATAAATAGTACAGTCCGTTCTTGGGGATCGTTCTTATGACAACTCAAATATAGTCTGAAAGGAACACACTTTATTAAAAAATGGGCGGCATAATTTTTCACTTCTTTATTTACAAGTGCATAACAAGTACATGCTCTGCTAGGCACTGTTCTAAGCACATTATAATAATAACTCATTTGTAGCAACATTACCGGTTGAACACCATTATTATTCTTGTTTTATAATTGAAAAAATTAAGACAGAAAGAGATTAGGTAACTTACCCAAGACTCGGAGCCAGCAGGTTGTGGATTGAGGTATACCGCCCAGCTGGTCTGTGCTTCTCATTGTTCTGTTATGCTGCCTTTTGTGGTAGCACATAGATATAGGTGTGTTGTTCTTGTATGATCCAGAAGTAGGACTTAATATTTTTGAAGACTAGACAAACTCTTTGATCTTCAAACTTTCCTCCCTAAATATGGTCATTTATCTTAGTCAGAATTATAGTTGAGAGAACCACTGAGTCCAATGTGGCTTTCCCAGCTAGAACCTGTAGAGCACCCATCTTTATGACGAAAGTACCGTCTGCTTAACAGTCAGTGGAGTTGGGGTTTCTCAGTCCTTAGGCCACCATCATGTGTAAGTAACTGAATAAAACTCTTTTTGGGATAACTTCCTAAATATTCTTCTATATAGATGTCATCTGCACAGATATAGTGGTCTCCAGATTGATTAAAGGACATATAGAATGAGGGGTCCCCCAATTTTTCACACCCCCCTCCCACTATGGTGTACTGGAAATTTGCTACAATTGCTATAGCTATTAGAGAAATCAGGTCTGAATACCTATTCTTAAAAAGGACATATTAACATTGTATTCACATGGTGCTTCTTGTTTCTTGTTTTGCTTTCCAAGATGATCATAAAAACAAGCCCTTTAGATTTGATTATACTAATTAATTTACTGTTTGATGTTTTGTTTTTAGTTATTTTTAATTAAAATTCTATATAAAGAGTATGTAGAAAACTAAAGTGATAAAATATAATTAATGATTCCTTGATGTTTAAGGTTCATTTTGGTGAGTTTTGTTTTAGAACTCTACATTTGACATGACTAAAATGGTACACACAAGAGTTTTATCATCTTTTTTCAGATCTAGACTATGTCTTTGCACATGCCAGTGGCATCTTTCTTACAAGTATGGTCTGTTTCCTGGCTTACTGTGTAACCATGAAAAATAATCCTAACTTATATCCTGAAGCAGTCTTGCCATGTAAGAATGTTTACTATAGAAAATCTTCTTACTCTGTAAAAGGATCATTCTCTACTCATTTCACTTAAATAATCATCTTCTGGAAACCAAGCTATCGTGTGTGTGTGTATTTCCTTAATTGCTCTGCCCCAGTTCACCACCATATATGAAGGATTTAAAAACCATGAAACTAGGGACTTCCGGTCAAGATGGCGGCATAGGTAAACGTGGTATCGCGTCCTCCCACAACCACACCTAAGTTACAACTAAACTACAGAACAACCATCATTCAAAATCGCCTGAAATCAAGCTGAATGGAAGTCCTACAACTACAAAATTAAATAAGAAGCTGCATCGAGACAGGTAGAAGGGGCGGAGGCGGACCAGCTGGCCCCACACCCACATGTGGCAGATAAAAATCAGGACGACACCTCGGCTGGGAAGGTCCTCCCTGAGGACTGAGGGGTCCCTGTCCCACACCAGGTGCCCTGATCAGGGTTCCAGTGCCCCGCAGAGAAGTCCCCATAACTTCTGGCTGGAAAAACCAGCAGGAACTGAGGCTCAGGGAGGCTGAAACAGCTGAAACCCCAGGCAGCTCCTCTTAAAGGGCCTGCTCATGGACTTACTCAGACTCTCTCCCTCTAAGCTTGAAGAGGAGGCAGCTTGAGAGGCGCCAGAGACATACAGGGAAGAACTGAGCTGTTTGGCACTGGAGCGAGGGCTGGAGAGGGGGCTTTCTCCGGGATAAAGGTGCTGTCAGAGGTCTTTGTTCCTTTAGTGAGCCCATCCCTGGGGCGGCAGACAGCCACCCAATCTGGGACTCCAGCAACCTGGCTCACACTGCTTGCCCCACCCTGGTGATTCCCTGAGGCCCGGCCCCACCCAACTTTCAGCCCCCCCCCCCAAGCTGTTGCCAGTGGCTTTACCATAGGATTGGCCTGTCTTAGATCCTGCTTCAGATTTTCCTAAATCCTTTCAAAAAGCAGCATCTGGTCTCAGCTACCCCAAACCTCCCGTTAAGTAATACACAGAAACAAACACAGGGAGGCAGCCAAAATGAGGAAACAAAGAAACAGGTTCCAAATGAAAGAACAGAATAAAACCCCCAAAAAAGAACTAAGTGAAATGGAGATAAGCAACCTACCAGATGCTGAGTTCAAAATACTGTTTATAAGGATGCTCAATGAACTTAGTGAGAACCTCAGCGAATGTAGTGAGGGCCTCAAGAGCATAAAAAAGGACCAGTCAGAAATGAAGGAGGCACTAACTGAAATAAAGAATAATTTACACAGATTCAGTACCAGAGTAGGTAAAGCCAAGAAGCTAACCATCGATTTGGAATATAAGGAAGCAAAAAACACCCAATCAGAACAGCAAAAAGAAAAAAGAATCCAAAAAAATGAGGATAGTGTAAGGAGCCTCTGGGACAACTTCAAGCATGCCAACATAGGGGTGCCAGAGGGGAAGAGAGAGAACAAGAGATGGAAAACCTATTTGAAACAATAATGGCAGAAAAGTTCCCTAACTTGGTGAAGGAAACAGACATACTAGTCCAGGAAGCACAGAGAGTCCCAAACAAGATGTACCCCAAGAGGCCCACACATCATCAAAATGTAAAAGGTTCAAGACAAAGAGAGAATCTTAAAAGCAGCAAGAGAAAAGCAGTTAGTTACATACAAGGGAGTTCCCATAAGGCTGTCAGCTGATTTCTCAAAAGAAACCTTGCAGGCCAGAAGGGAGTGGCAAGAAATATTCAGAGTGATGAAAAGCAAGAACCTATAACCAAGATTACTCTATCCTGCAAAGCTGTCATTTAGAATCAATGGATATATAAAGAGTTTCCCAGACAAGAAAAAGTTAAAGGAGTTCATCACCACCAAACCGTTATTATATGAAATGTTGAAGGGTCTTTTTGAAGAAAAAGATAAAATATATGAACAAACAAAATGGCAATGAATACATATCTATCGACAATTGAATGTACAAACAAAATGAATAGGCAGAACAGAAACATTCTCATAGATACAGAGAACATTTTGTTGGTTGCCAGATGGGAGGGAGGTTGAGGGAATGGGTGAAAAAGGTGAAGGGATTAAGAAGTACAAATTGGGTGCTAGACTGACAAACCTCAAAGGGAAGGGGGTTAGGGGTGGGAAGAAATAAACAAAAGAGCTTATACGCACAACCAATGGACATAGACAACAGTGTGGAAAAAGGCAGGAGGGGGGTGGGAGTGGGGAGGAGGGCGTCAATGGGGGAAAAATGAGGAACATCTGTAATACATTCAACAATAAAGAGTAAAAAAAAAAAACATGAAACTAAATATAAAATGCTAGTCATTGTTACAGATCTTACAACTTGAACAATAAATCTAAGATAATTTCCTAGGCCAAAATATCTTATGTGTTGACTGTCAGACTTTTTAATTTCTTCTTCTTTTTTTTTTTTTTTTTATCCTCACCCGAGGACATTTTTCCAACTTTTGTACAGATAGAGTGGGAGGGAGAGAGAGGGAAAGAGAGAGAGAGAGAGAGAAACATCGACGTGAAAGGGACACATCGAGTGGCTGCCACCCACACGACCAACCAGGGCCGGGGACAAACTGCAACCGAAGTATGTGCCCTTAGCGGGAACCGAACCTGCGTCTCTCCGGACCGCAGGCCAACGCTCTAACCGCTGAGCCAAACTGGCCAGGGCTTAATTTCTTCTTTATAAGGATTTCTATTAAAAGTCAGAGTCCTGTGACTACTTATTTATTTATATCCTCACCCGAGAACATATTCATTGATTTTTAGAGAGAAAGAGAGAGACATCAATGTGAGAGATGAACATTGATCAGTTGCCTCCCAGCCCCAACCAGGGATTGAATTGGAAACCTAGTATGTGCCCTGACCAGGAATTAAACCCATGACCTTTTGGTGTACGGGAAAATATCCATCTGAGCTACACAAACCAGGGAATGGGAATTTTTTTTTAAGTATCAATAAATAGGAATCTGCAGTCACTTGGGAAAGCAAACATTCTTCCTAAAAATTAAGTAGAAATTATTTTAGAACTCAAACAGGTATACGTTAAATGCACATGCTTTTGGATTTACTCCATTAGGCATTGGTGGCAAAAAATATATGTGTCATCTCTCACTTATCTGTGATTTTGCTACAATTCAATTTGGAATAAAGGTGCACAAGCAAAAAATTTCACAGAACAAAATTAAGCACATGATTGACTTAATCCAAAGTGTCCACTGTACCACTATTGAAAATGGTACACTATTTACTGAAGGCTTCGTTCAATTATCATGACATTTTTAGCTGGTGTTTTCATACAAATTCTAGGACTTTCGTTTTTTCCTTAGCTATAAGCATCATTCTAAATTGCATATATGTTCATGAGTTAGAGTAAATGGTGTTTACAGAGCATGTTCAGATCCTGTGTCTTCCCTAGGCCCTTCTCCACCACCCAACTTTACTCAATTACTCCTTTGGGTACTTTATTTAATGTCAGTAAAGTGAGATGGTTGATCATTGTACCCAAAGCAGTGAAGGGCAATCAGTTGGTTTCCAAAATGACCATAAAGAAAAGCTCAAAAATCCGTGTTGGCCAACCATGTTGGTAGGAACACACTGATGTGCATACGTTAACATTCCTGCTAAATCTAGAGTGTGAAGTTTTCGGGAGGGGGCCGTGGCTTGTAATGACACTGTCTGTGCGTGTTTCAGGATTTCTGTGAGGGATACTTTGGACAGTAGCCACCTGCTATTGGTTCATAGCTAATCACTCTCTCGGCACTGTGGTCAGTTTTCCGATAATCACTGCTGTAAATGGCTGGATTGTTCTGACATTTTTGATTTTCAAATGTAAATCTAATTTTTCTGGAGCATTCATACTGACTCATTGAAGGCAGTTGTGGAGTTTAATGTTTTAGGAGAACAATTAGTATAATAGACTCATGTAGATAAACTGATACCTTCTAATCTCAAGTCCTTGATTGCTAAGGGAACACTGCTAACCTCATTCTAGCAGGTTTGTTCATCTCTGATATCCTTGCAGTGTTTGTTGGGTCATTTTACCTGGTATCATTTTGGATACATTATAACTTGCTAGTTATAGCACTCGTCATATCTATACAACAGTTTAAACATATAAAAATGCTTTTGTGTAAATTATCACACTTGAATCACATGACAACCTTGTGAGACAGAAAGCACTTCCTATACCTCTTCATATGGAACCTCAATATTTTTGAGAAAGGCTTTCATGAAGTCCTAAACCAAAGTGTTGTCTCTGCATAATGCCATGTATGGTGCTATACATAATACAATTTGCTTCCTCTGACTTTTTTGTTGTTGTTGTTAATCATCACCTGGGATCTTTTTCCCCCTGATTTTTAGATAGAGTGGAAGGGAGAGAAGGAGAAAAAGAGAAACATCAATGTGAGATATATCAATTGGTTGCCTCCCACACGACCCCAACTGAGGCCAGGGGTCAAACCCGAAACCAAGGGTCATGCCCTTTTCTGGGAATCGAACCAAGACCCTTCTGTCTGTGGGCCAATGCTTTAACCGCTGAGACAAACCAGCCAGGGCTCATCTGACTTCTTGAGGTGCCAATTAGGTAGCACTTAGTTAGGTAACAGAAAAACAAAAATACTTCCCTTGACATAGGTGGGACAAGTATTAATAGGATTGTCCCCATTTTGAAGATGAGAAAATTGAGGCAATTGCTAAGAGCATTGTCAGAGTGAGAAAGCAAGTGGAAACCGCAAGGCTTCTAAGTACAAAGTTTAAAGAACACAGTGCTGCCCTGGCCGGTTTGGCTCAGCGGTTGGAGCGTCGGCCTGTGGTCTGGAGAGACCTGGGTTCGGTTCCCGCTGGGGGCACGTGCCTCAGTTGCGGTTTGTCCCCGGCCCTGGTTGGGTCGTGTGGGTGGTGACCGGTCGATGTGTCCCTTTCGCATCGATGTTTCTCTCTCTCTCTCCCTCCTACTCTATCTGAACAAAATATTGAAAAGTGTCCTCAGGTGAGGATAAAAAAAAAAAAAAAAAGAACACAGTGCTATTTTTTGCCATCAGTATAGAATCCGGTTTAGAGTCCAGGTTCATTATGGTAATAGGACTGACATATACACACACGGGAATTGAGTGCTTTAATGTCGGGCTCTTATGTCCATACTAGATAGTTGGGACTGCTGACCAGCTGTTCACCTTCATCCCATTTTTAAATCATCACAAACACAATTTGCCTGAAATATTTTATCAGCACACTTGTGCAAACCTGGAAAGTCGATTTTTAAAACACATATTGTCTAGTCTAAATCACATTACATGAGCCCTGGCTGGTTTGGCTCAGCGGTTAGAGCGTCGGCCTGCGGTCCGGAGAGACCCGGGTTCAGTTCCCGCTAAGGGCATGTACCTTGGTTGCAGTTTGTCCCCGGCCCTGGTTGGGTCATGCAGGTGGCAGCCACTCGATGTGTCTCTTTCACGTCGATGTTTCTCTCTCTCTCTCTCCCTCCCACTCTATCTGAACAAAATATCGAAAAATGTCCTTGGGTGAGGATAAAAAAATAAAAATAAAAAATAAATCACATTACATGAAAGTTTGAAACATCCTTCGATTTTAATATAAATTCTAGGTTTCAAACAGTATGTTTTTGACTATTTTATTGTGTTCATAAAATGGTTAGCTTTAAAGTACCTCTAAATTCAAACAAATTAATTTTTTTAAATTTCGAGAACTCACATTTTGATGTTCATAATCTCTGCTGAAGAAAAATATTACTGAAATCGAACATATCGTAAGGATTTTTTTTAGTCCTCATCATTGGAATGGCAAAGGACGCAAATTCTTTCCACAAAGGGGTTTGTTTCTCATCACTTCAGGGATATGTCATGCTAGAGGTGACCATATAACACAGGAAATATACTGGGCAACAGGGGTATAAAGCATACCAGTTATACGCTTAAAAGTAAATTTGCATGGAGAAGTATACAGTATGATATTCTCCTCCACTAGGGATTCAAACGTTATATTCTTGAACAAATGTGGGTTCTCTAGAAAAGGTGTGAGGCAATTTTATATAAAATACACAGATACAATCAAGTCGCACAAGACAAATAGAAATGTAAGCACAAATAGAACATCAAAACTATAATAAAAATGAGAAAGGAAGCAAATAGTACAAAGGGTAAATAGTTATGGGATTGAAAATTAAATTTTGCTTCGCATCTACAAAAGGAGGTAATGCAATGAGATAGCTAATCATTTTTAACTGATAGCCTACTATTTTCTCAGAAAAGACAGTTTATTTTCTAGCATTAAATTTTAAACAGAATGTATCATATGGGGCCTTTTTGCAAGGGACATGGAACAATAATAAGTAATATTCTTTACCAAAATTTTACAGTAGACAGAGAGATGGTTTTCCAAACACTGTTTCTTGTATTAAATTATGGTAAAGCCTTACAGCAAAACATGAATACCTACTTCATTGGAAATAAATTGCTGAGGTAGGCAGAGTGTGGGCAGAGGTGTCAGTGGGAGTGATCACTGAGGCTTTGGAGACATGCCCATCAAAAGGATTATTCTTTTTTTTTTTTTTTTTTTTTTTGCATTTTTTGTGTTCAGACAGAGCGGGAGGGAGAGAGAGGAAGAGAGAGAGAGAGAAACATCGATGCGAAGGGACACATCGAGTGGTTGCCACCCGCACAACCAACCAGGGCTGGGGACAAACTGCAACCGAGGTACGTGCCCTTAGTGGGAACCGAACCCAGGTCTCTCTGTACCGCAGGCCGACGCTCTAACCGCTGAGCCAAACCGGCCAGGGCGAAAGGATTATTCTTGAACCATTGATACAAACAGAGCGGTCCCACCCAGCAGGTGTAGCTTCCTCTGGTGTTTGAGGATTCTTTCCTGGGAAGGACAGGTACTGCTAGGAGATGAAGCAATAGGTCTTTATTGCCACTAGGTTCTTCCTTGATTGTACTTGTGTTACTCTATTTAAGACAACCTTACCCACACACAGAAAACATTCGGTCCCTACGCTCAAAGATCTTACATTCTTTTTCACTTTATTTTCTTAGCAGAGTAGATTTTGTTTTAACTTTAACTTTTTCTAATGCAAAATTTCAAATATACCCATCACCTAGCTTCAATCATTATAAATATGGTCATTCTTATTTTATTTTAAAAAGGGACATTTTTTGAATCCCAGTCGCTCTATTTTCCCAGGTACATATATTTCCATTGTTGCATATCTATTGGTGACTAGATTGTGAGTTCTTTGAAATCACATCTATATTGTTTGCTGGCAAATAACATATAATTAAAAGGGGGGAAGGGGATGGATGGATGAATGAATGAATGAAAAGAAAGGAAAAACAAAACCTACATAGCCCGAGAAAGGGCTTGTTACCTCTGCTCCGCATGTTCCCTGTGCGTCTAAAGGCTGAATCCATCCTTATCCAGAAAGTTCAGCTTCTCAAGATGCCTCAAGCTCACCTTGTTTTCACAGACTGATTTGCTAATATAATTTTTATAAATATACAAAAAGAAAATATACAATCCCAATTGCCAAAGCAGCTGCATGTCTTACCTGGGATGCTCTTCCTATTTGGCTCTCCTTTGCCTGAATTAGTGTCTGACACACCTTGACTTATGCTTGCATTTAGCACAGCACTACTTACTTCCTATAGCCACAGGACTCTCTCAATAACCTTAGGCGCTGTCTAAGGAACTATTCAGAAAATCCTCAGCCAAAAAGCTTCAAAGGTCATTGATACCTTTTTTTTTTATCTATTTATTTTTTTATTTATTAATTTGTTTTTGTTACAGATGTTTCTCATTTTTCCCCCATTGACACCCTTCTCCCCGCTCCCCCACCCCATTCCTAGCTTTGTTGTCTATGTTCTGTGGTTTATTTCTTCCCCCCCCCCCTCAACCCGCCCTCCTCTGAGGCTTGTCAGTCTGTACCCCACCTCTATGTCTCTGGGTTAATTTTGTTCAGCAGTTTGTTTAGATACCTTTTAAATACACACACACACATACACACACACATATACATATGTGTGTATATATACACATATATATGTATATGTACATATATATGTATATGTATATGCATATGTGTATATGTATATATAGAGAGAGATATATATATAGATATGTTTTTACTGATTTTAGAGAAAGAAGATGGGAGAGGGAGAGAGAGGTGGAAACATCGATGAGAGACCGGCTGCCTCCTGCACACCTTTTACTGGAGATCAAGCCTGCAACCCAGGCGTGTGCCCTGACCGGGAATCAAATCAGTGAGCTCTCGGTGCACAGGGCAATGCCCAGCCAACTGAGCCACACTGGCTGGTCATATAATACCTTTTGGTATTATCTTCCACCATGTACTCTAAAGGGAAATTCATTTTCTGGTTAAAGAAAATAAAATTCTTAAGCAAATGGCACGGTAACATTAATATTATGTCCCCTATTCCCTTGTTTTCTGCCACCCTGTTCGAAGTCAGTATGGAACTGCCTAAAGGATCCAGATGCTCCTTGTTTGGCTTGGATTTTGAGACTTAGGACCTTACGTCATTGCTAAGAGACAGTTCCTTTGACCTATTTCTCTGGCTCTTTTGATGTGGACTTTTCCAGATGCTAACAGAGTAATGTGTTTTTATTACTTCCCTTACATGCCCACGTGGGGTCAGGCCTTGTTGACCCCGTCATGCGGACAGCTGGAGAAGGGGAGAGAGCAACATGTTGGAATTGTTTATTTGGAACTCAGAGCTTGTGCAGGCTTGAAACAGAATCATAAAATGTGAATACAATATATCTTCTGCACAGAAACCATGAGTAATTCAAATTCCTGTTTTCCCTTCTCAGCTAAAAATAATAGTAACAATAGACTTCAGTAGCTTACGTTTCTTCTCCTTTCTTCTTATTTCTTCTATATTATTTGATACCTGTCTTTATTGCCTGTTCATGAACCCATTATTTATTTTTTCTTACATGGTTTTCTCTCCTCCATTATTTGATCTGTAGCATGTATTAGAGTTTAATGTTAGATATAATTGATTACTGTGAAGTAGTATCAGTTTCAAAATGTTTTTTAAATACATGCTGTTTCCATAAGCACATTATTTGTCACATTCAAAAGAACATATTAAAATTTCTTCAGTCATGAGATTATCTCATGCCAGAGAAAGTTATACATTTCTTCATGTACTCTTTCCTGTTAATCCTATTTCTAGTACCATAAAGAATTAGTTCACTAGAGAAAATAAACTACTTGCTTATTAAAATATTTTATTATAAATAGATCCCATGAAAGAAAAGCATGCTATGGCACAAAATATGACAGCATCATCAAAATAATAAAAATGAAAACTATAAAGAAAAAAAAAAGTCTTCATTTTTTACCTAATGTTATTTAGTTTAACTTAATGTTGAGTTAGGGTTGAGATTATTTCCCTGACAGTATTGTTATATTGCTCTTATAAATAGCAAGTTATTTGATTAAAATATCAGGTCAGCTCTCCAATTTACTATATTTACATAGAATACAATCACAGAAAAATAACCGATTTAATTAAAGTTTTTTTTTTCAGGGTCCAGGATTTGTAGCTGCAATGTGGGAAGTCTTCATGTCTAAGGAAATACAGGTATGTACAAGAAATGGCAGAGTTATAAAACAAGTGTAGATCCATGTACAACGGATATTTAATACTGTGTGTGTGCTATTTTCTGAAAACTGCATATAACTACTAAACTTAATGCAGAAAACGCATAAATCGAGTTGATGGGTCAGATGTTAAAAATGTTTTTTCATCCCTGACTAGGAAAAAAAATAATAAAAATGTGACAGTTATTATAAAACATGTTTCTCTCCCCCCCAGCCCCCACTGGAAAAATGCTTTAGTTAACTTTATCTTTCCGTGAGAGCTTTGGTTAAATAATCCAATAAAATATGATAGAGGAAATTTTTTTTTTTTTTTTATCCTCCACCCGAGGATATTTTTCCATTTTTTGTACAGATAGAGTGGGAGGGAGAGAGAGAGAGTGAGAAACATCGACGTGAAGGGACACATCGAGTGGCTGCCACCCGCACGACCAACCAGGGGCGGGGACAAACTGCAACCGAAGTACGCGCCCTTAGCGGGAACTGAACCCGGGTCTCTCCGGACCGCAGGCCGACGCTCTAACCGCTGAGCCAAACCGGCCAGGGCTGATAGAGGAAATTTTTATTTTGTGTAAAATATGGTAGATTAACAACTAAAAGATTTTTTTTAGCCCAAAGAGTAAAATATCCCTGAGGCAAGTGGAATTTGAGAATAGATATTTCTGGGGGTTCTCCTCCCTCCCAAAGATCTCCATATGAAAAGAGCAGTTTTACAGGGAAACAGTATGGGAACAAGTGATGACTGCCTCTTCTCTCTCCAGTGTAATTGATGGTGATTTGGACACTCTCTCAAAGCACCGTAGATGTAGTAGTTTCTGTCTAAATGTGCAGCTGTAATAGCAAATAATTCCTGGTACTAAGAAGATGTGATGTTGCAGACCTCTGGGAACCATGGGCTACACTGTGTCCCTGGCCGATCCTTAAAATGACTATTTGATTTTAAATTTAAGAAATAATTTCATTGATTCTAAATAAAATGTTTTTATTGAGAAAGCCATAATTTGATAATATGAGTAAGATTCTCAGATGGAATAAACATGTTTAGAAGATATTTGGACCATGATCTTATTATTTTTTTTTTTTAATGCACAAGACAACTTAAAACATTTATAGACTCATAAGTTGCTTTTGTGCACATGTTTCTCATTTATTTTAGTTAGGGTTGCTTTCCACAAAAATAATTCTATGCCCATAACACACTGTAAATCTCTTTGCAAATATTTCATCTGCCTCACAAAGGATAATGATTTCCACTTAAAAATTACTATTCAGTATAACATGCTGAAGCCTTAGAAAACACAAGTTAGTGACCAGAGCTTATTTGCAATTAAGGTATAAAAAAGCACAAACTAAGAACAGATTTATTTTAAGCTTTTGAAAATTATTTTGCTCACTACCACAGTGATAATGATACTGAATTAAAAATCTTTTTTTTCTAGAAATCAGAGCTTCCTTGAGAGAATCTCTAACCATTAAGTGTCAGAGTCCTCCAGAAACATACTAAAAGACATTCAAAGAAGGTTTTTTAACAATAACAGCTGAAAAATATTCTTATGCAATAAGATCATTTAGTAAGGTGCTGAAATATAGCACAAATGTAAAATCATCATCCTTCCCATATGTCACTAATTATCAATTAAAAAGTGGAAAATATACTAAATATACTAAAAAGTGGAATAATACTATTAATACCTACACAGATCATAAAAATATATAAAAATAATTAAGAAGTATGCTAGATTTATAAAATATTTTACTTTACTGAGAAAGGACATAAAAGAACATCAGAACAAATGGGGAGACTCACCATATTCCTGGTGGAACAGCTCCCTGTGGTTGCTAGGCAGTTCTCTCCACTTACATTCATTGAGGTTCTTATAAATCCCAATGGAATTCTTCCTGGAATTTGAGAGTGAGTGTTAAAGTTTGGCCAAGTGTGTATATGAAAACAAAGAGAGGGAGGGCCAAGCTGAAAGCAAAGAGTGAGTTTTGTTGACCTCCCCAGAGTTAAAAAAGAAAGTCATGAATCTGTCCACAAACGCAGCTTAAAGGATGTCCACTGGTACTTACATTTAATGCAAATGCCTAACCACCTCTTGACAATTGAGTTTAAGTCTTAAATACTTTGCAAAACGAGTTTAAGAAAAAGTTACTAACTAATCACTGAACCCCAAATCCTACCAGAATTTTAAAAAATTCTTTTTCTTAGAAACGACACAAAGCCCGGGAGTAAAACATGTATCTTTATACTTTTAGGTCCTATCAGTTATGTCCTCAAGCAGTCCTTGATGACACATATTTAAAAGTCCACAACCTACAGCAGTGAGAACCAAGCACTTTCTGTGTGAAAGAATTTAATGGTTTAATTTGGTTTTAATGCCATCAGCCCTCCAGTTGGGGGCCATGCACTTCTGATGTTCTTTTATATCTAATGTCTGTTCCTCTTTGGGAAGTTTGTTGTAGAATTTTATATTTAACTATTTTAAGCTAGATATTCACTATATTTTTAGCAACACACTTTTTTAGCCAGTATATCTACAGTGATACCAATGCATGGGGATTATTACCACAACAATGTATAGGTCAGTAGCTACCCCCAGATAAAGAATGAGATGATTTTTTTTATTTCAATAGCTGTTTCAAAAATCCAGGTTAAAAGCTTTTTGCTTTGGGGATAAAGTTAGTGTGATCTTTCTAAGAGCTAATATTCACCTTTGAACAAGGAAAACTATTACCCAAATATAATCTTTTTTCCCTCTAGGAGACTAGGCAGCTTAGGCAGATTCTTAACCTTAAAGGGAAAAAACATTTTATTCCCTGAGAACATTATTCTTCGGTTTACGTAGACAATACAATAGAGAGCTTACCAAAACTTTCACATAATTAGGTTGTAAAATGCTGACAATTGAGCCCCATATAATGTTTTTCTTATTTAACTAATCATGTCAATTGCCTAATTTAAAGTACATTTAGCAATCACCTGAGTGTATTCATTTTTTTAACAAATATTTATGAAGTACCTATTCCACACCAGTCAGTACTGGCATCTAGGTAAAGGCTACTGTCTTTAAAACTAAGAAAAATATATCAAGAAAACTAATGCCTTATTGCGGGATGGGAGTGTGTGTGTGTGTGTGTGTGTGTGTGTGTGTGTGTGTGTGCTGGTCTGTACTTGGCAAGGCTTTGTGGTGCTATCTTTCACTTGTAGAACTCATATTAGAGTGACTTTTGATAGTGTTGATGGTCACAGTGAATCAAATAGTACAACTGACTCCAACCCAGTTTACAAAGACCTCTCTCTCCTCATGAAACAGACAAATCAATCCACTCCAACCCAATTCTCTATTAGGTTGACATGCGTTATATTATGTTTGGTTTTTGTATTCATTGAGATTAATCTTGATAAGAGCTAATAAGAGTTTTCTATGATTTGACTGTCAGAAGATCACAATGTAATTTTAGACCATATATCTAAAATTAGGGAGGCGCTAATTCTGTTTTGCTTAGTGGTGCTCAAACCCTCTGTTAGGGTATTAGGGACTATATTTAAAGAGGGATATAGACAACCTGGCAATCAATCATTCAGAGGGAAACAGCCAGGATAGTGAGGGAGCTTGAAATCATTCCATATGAGAAAAATGGTCAAAGGAGCTAAAATACTGACCAGGAAATAAGATACTTCAGGGATATAAGACAGTTATTTTTCAATGTTTGAGGGTGTTTCTTATGGGAGAGAAATTAGAATCGGTCATTCTGTACCCTAGAGAGAGAACTTGTGGGAAATACAACGCGTCTAGTTAGCACAGGAAAATATTTCTTTGTTAATCTGCACAAGGACTGTCTACATTGGACAGTGACTCTCAATGTTTCCCATCCACATATCGCTGGGAAGGCCAAACTTAGCCTTTCTGTTTCTGCCTCGCCCTTTAGATTGATCTATTTATTTAAACTTTATCATCTCTCCCCAGGAGGACTGTAGTTGCCTCCTCATTGGTCTCTTTCCATCCAACTAGCACTCTCCAATCTGTTCACCGTTGCAAAAAAAGTGTCGGTTTTATCACGTGCAAATCCGGTCTTTTGACCACATCTAGCTGTACCCTTTCCTTTAATGCTTGGAAAAATAAAACTCAAAGCATAAGATGACCTGTTAGATCCCTGTTTGCTTGGGCCCACAGCCTTCCCCCCTCCTTGCTCTAACTCTCCTTGCCCTAGTCACACTGACCTCCTTTCAGCCCCTGGCAAGGATCACGCTTTCTCTTACAACAGAGCTGTGCTAAAACCTTCTTTCTACCTGGAATTCAACCTGCTGCCCGCTTTCCCAGCCCAAAGCTTTGATACTTAAGGTAGACGCTCAACCTTCCACCCTCCAAACCACCCTGTTAAGATTCTTTTATAACACACTCAGACCACCATCTTTGCTTGCTTGTTAACACCCCCCTCACTTTGTAACATTGTTTTCTGTGATTATTTTATCAATTCCTGTCTTCTGTACTATAGGTTTGGCTGAATAAGGGCACATTTTGCCATTTTTATTCAGGGTTTTAACCCCAGCACAGGTTGATGCATGGTAGGAGCCCACCTGTGTTTACTGAATGGGCGAATTGGCAAAGATCTTGGGGATTTTCAAGGCAATCTGGTGATTACTTAGAGAAACAGCAAGAAAGCATATAGGTAGCCAAGGAAGATGGTTAGTAAAGTTCCTAGTAATCTTGAGAGTCTGTGCTCTTGTGTGTGTTTGTGTTCTTAATTACAGTTATTCTTTTTTATTATTCAGGGTCAACAACAATATCTATTAATGATATTTGCATTTTGCATCATCTTGACTGGAGCATTATGCACTGCTTTCCCTAAAATCTAACAACCAGGCTGGCCGGTGTGGCTCATTGGTTGAGCATTGACCCATGTACCAAGAGGTCACCTGGTTTGATTCCCTGTCAGGGCACATGCCCAGGTTGTGGGCCCAATCCCCAGTGGGGGACATGCAGGAAGAGGACAATCAATGTTCTCTGTCATCAATGTTTCTATCTCTCTCTCTCCTCCCTTCCTCTCTCTCAAATCAATATAGAAAAAAAAAGTTTTTAAGAAATAAAATAAAATAAAATCTAAAAACAATATAACCAGCAGGTGGCAGCAGTGGTTAAGAGAATGCCTCTACCGGACTCTAGACAGATTATGCAGAGAACAACAGATCCATATAGCAAATGCATCTCAACTCATCTCAGAATGGGTACATGATTTTTTTTCACAAATGTGAGAATTAAGGAAAACTGATTTTCAATAAAGTATAAAAATGAAAGAATCTTGCTATTTATGAAGGTAGGACTTCAGGGGGTGACTAAAATGTCTACATTCTTACAGCATTACATCTAAGGATGCTCCTTTTACCACAATATGTCCTTAGTATTGCATAATCTAGAAAACAGTGTGGAGTTCATATACAAAGAGTGTTGTGTGTATCCAAATTTCTGATATATGACACTCATTAATGAAGAGAGGCAGAGAAAAGTGGGGGGGGGGGAGAATTACCTCATAGTGGAATTAGGTCCCAAAGATACCTAGATCCTTTGCTAGAAAAAGTAAATGTCAGAATTGGTAGCTGAATGTTAAAAAGGCCATTTCATTATTTTTAGCCCAAACTTATTTTTACTTCAAATGAATATTGCCCAAACTCTATATCACCCATCTATCTTACTTAGCTCAAAATGATTTTTATTATCTCCAGATAAAATCCATCTTCAGAGAACAAAAGTTTCCCATCATTAAGAGTATGTGTGTCATACCCAACATAATATGCAAGCACATATAAATACATACACATATAGGTATGTACTATTCCAAATTTGGGGAAAATACTAGAGTTCCTGAAGTGAGGTTCTAGCTTATCAGAGAGTTTACTTTTCTAAAATCTTTTCTTCCAGGTTTTCACTGGTGGTTTCTACTAGGCAATAGAAAATGACAGACATGCTGCTCTTATTTCTCTAAGAAAAGCAAAATGAAAATGTTAGTACAATGTTCATCACAATGGTTCCCAAACTCTCAAAATAATACAACCCCTGGTGACCCATGTCACCTGAAAGTACATTACCCTGCTGTGCAGAAGAGACGGAATAGCATTCTGCTTGTGTATCACTCTGAGGTTCACCTGTATAGATTCAAATTTACCTCTGCTTCGTTGTACTTGTATGACTTTGGCTACGTTTCTGAGCCCCCCTGTATCAGATTCCTCATCTGTAAACTGGGGACCATGATAATATCTATCTCACATGGTTGTTGCAATATTCAAATTAATTGAGCATAATGTCTTGGGTCAATTTCTGGGTGCTCTGTTCTGAAATCTCTTTTTATTTTTTATTTATTTATTTTTTTTTATCCTCACCCGAGGACATCTTTTCCATTTTTTGTTCAGATAGTGTGGGAGGGAGAGCAAGGAAGAGAGAGAGAGAGAGAAACATCGATGTGAAAGGGACACATCAAGTGGTCGCCACCCCCACGACCCAACCAGGGCCGGGGACAAACCGCAACTGAGGTACATGCCCTTAGTAGGAACCAAACCCCGTTCTCTCTGGACCGCAGGCTGACCAAACCGCTGAGCCAAACCGCCCAGGGCTGAGCCAAACCGCCCAGGGCTGAAATCTCCTTTTATTTTTGTTGTACTGAGTTCTTTGTACTTAGAGTTGCTAACTGCTAGACCTCTGTGTATCGATATTGGTAGACTTAAAAACCACATTACATGAAAAAGGCAAGTTATAGAATCAAGTGCACATTTAGGTAAATTTTTAAGTTAAAATAATACATATTTTTTTTATACATGCATACGTATGTAAAATATTAGAAAATATGTAGATCAAGTTCATAATAACATTTGCTTCTACTGAGGATAAATGGTAACAAACTGGTGATCAGCTGCAGTCACGGCAAACTTGAGCATTATCCATTAAACTCTAATTGCTATGGCAATGAATTCATACATGTGTTCTTTAAGACGAGTTAAAGAATTAACAGAAGCATAGGTCTAAATGTTAAAGTAATTAAGTCTTGGTAAACAGACTATGTATGAATGTTATTTTTCTCTCTATTCTTTTCAGTACTTTTTGAATTTTCAAAACAAGCATACACACGCAAATAAAAAAGACAAAGTTGGGAAATTTTCCAACTAAAGGTAGAAGCCAGAAACTTGCTTTCCCAGCCTCCCTTGCAAGAGGATGTGCCGCTCCTGACTGTGTATCTTTCAAGCCCAGTTCTGTGGTCCTGCTGGAGATTCTGGAACTACCTAGTAAAGTTGCTTTATAAATTTGGCCTCATTAAAAAATAACTCACAAATACCTTTACAGCCTGTTTTAATAAACTTTAATGAGGTGTAATTTGCATCCAATGAAATTCTCTGTGGACAGTGCTCTGAGCTTCAGCAAATGCACAGTCGTGTGAACACCACTACAATCTACATACAGACCATTTCCAGCAACCCCCAAAATTCCCTTCTGAACCTTTGTAGTTAATGGCCACGCACCAGGCCACCAGTGATCCGTTTTCTGTCTTTCTAGATTACTTTAGCCTATTTTAAAGTTTGATGTAAAAAGAATTGCCTGGCTGGTGTGGCTCAGTGGATTGAGTGTCCTCCAATGGACTGAGAGGTCCCAGTTTCATTCCTGGTCAGGGCACATGCCTGGGTTGCGGGCTTGGTCCCCATTGGGGTGCGTGAGAGAGGCAGCTGATATATGTTTCTCTTTCATCGATGTTTCTATCTCTCCCTTCCTCTTTCTCTCTCTAGAAAATAAATAAAATAAAAAACATATTTAAAAAAAATTTTTTTTAAAGGATCACATCAGGCCCTGGCTAGTTTGGCTCAACGGTTAGAGCATCAACCTGCAGTCCAGAGAGACCTGGGTTCGGTTCCCGCTGGGGGTACGTACCTCCGTTGCAGTTTGTCCCCGGCCATGGTTGGTCGTGCGGGTAGCAGCCACTCGATGTGTCCCTTTCATGTCGATGTTTCTTTCTCTCTCTCTCTCCCTCCCACTCTATCTGAACAAAAATGGAAGAATGTCCTCGGGTGAGGAGAAAAAGGAATCACACCAGTACGGATCCTTTTGTGTTTAATTTCTGTCATCTTATAGCCATTTTAAACTATTTTTACAGTGCACAGATGATGTGTTATAAACTTGTGTACCCCAAACCTATATAATTTTGTTAACCAGTGTCACCCCAATTAATTCAATAAAAAGGAAAAAAAAACTATTTTTACTGATCTAAAACATTTATAATTCATTCTCGATGATTTTTCCTAGTAGAAGAAATCCTATGTGTGTATTTAAAACAAAAACTAAAGCAAAAATAATCCACATTTGGGATTGTTATTTTTAAGTGTGTGATGTGTCAAGTTTTGGGAATTCAGTTTTAAATTAATAGTATAGTAAGGAAGTCCTAGCTGCCCTTTGAGTCATCTCCAGTCTATAATATTCTCTTTTGCGGGGCTGTGACACATTAAGCTGTTTAAACTAGATCACCTCCATTTTCTACATGTTGAAAAAGGTGCATATTCTTGGGTTTTCTACAATTACCTAATGGATTATAATCTTGGGGGCTAGGAAGTGTGAATATGTATATTTTACAAGTATTCTTGGTGATCCTTATTACACCTGTGCTCTAAATTTTTTGTATTTGTGACTTTGATATTTAAAAGTTTTCAATGAAATACGTTATTAGAAAAATAAAAAAGAATATTCTGTCTTCCACTGCTAGAGGAAGAGAAAGTTATCTATTTAATTTTAAGAAGAATTTTTTAGAAGAATAATGAAATGCTTAAAACCAACCTTATAAATGTAACATTGCCAAAAATTTAAAAAAAAACAATAATAATAGCTGTATATCATCATCTCTTTTTAGCTCAAACCACTTGACTTCCACAAGTTGAATCATTTCCAAGAGGCCAGTGGCCAAGTCTGTTTTTACTTCAGATCCTGCAGAATAATTACTTTCTCCAGTAATAAAATCTCTAGCACAATTCTCCCTGACAAGATCCCATGAAAACAAACAAAAATTCTAATTTCTAAATGGAAACTGTCCAACAAGACCAGCAAAATAAATAACTGGAAATAAGCTAGAGAGAGAGGTGAGCTGGGCTGTAAACCAGAACCTACTCTACTGAAGCAGTCCTCAAGATGTTCTGTAGTACCTAACAGGTCCTCCTGAAACACTGACTGCGCTTTTTTCATTTTCTCTTACCCACGAGGTACTTGTAAGCACTGTTTCTCACTCATTCCTACCTTACATAATTAAAAAGTTTATACATTTCTTTCAACTATACCATAAAGTTTTTATTTTTAAAAATCACCTTAAATAATTCTTTCCAATAAAAAAAGCTTCACTGTCTCCCTTTCTTCCAACAATATTTGAGAATTATATTGGTTTATATGCATGTGACAAGTCAATTTATTGTGAGCTCTTTGAGAGTATAAGTTGTTTTATTCATCTGTATATCTGAAGAAAGCACACTGCACAAAAGAAAAAAAGAAGAAAAAAAAAAAAAGACTTTTTTGCCATGTACCCTGAAGAACATCTTAAAGTTACAGTCCAACATTTATTAGCCACTGATCGTTTAAAAACTGGCCCTTAGTAATTCACTGAATCATACATTAAATATTTATTAAGTGGTTTCATTTCACTTGGTTATGATGTATTATTAACTTTTCTGTATGTTGTTGAATTTCATTTTCTACAATTTTGTTGAAAATGTTTACTTTTGTGTTCATAAGTAATATTGGAGTGTAATATCAGGGTAGTACTAGCTCCAAAAAATTGTTAAATATTGATACTATTCTTTCTTAAATGTTTGGTAGAATTCAAAAGTAAAGCTATGTAAGC